TTGAAGTAGGCCTCCAAGGAGATAGGGATATTAAAGTATATTGTAGGTATATTAAAGTATATTAAAGTATATCCCCGGGTCAAAATCGGGAAAAATCCTACATTTTAATATACTTTAATATGGTTGCCCCCCCCCCCCCCCCCCCCCCCCCCCCCATAATATCATTAATACTTAGCCATATTCCCTCATTTTTACAATTCCGCTGACATCCTCAGGGGGTTGCTGTTAGGGACATCTGTGAAGGCCGAAGGGGGGGGGGGGGGGGGGGCATCGGCTACAACATCTAATCTGCTTTACGATGAATCTTGGAGATGATTTGTAATCACGTCCATCGAATTGTGCTGGCCTGCCAGACTGTTAATACATACAGAGGTCATGTGTCATTGCTACTGAAACATTCTGGTTTTTTTCCAAACATGTAGACACCTGAAACTTAAACAATTAAACTGAAGTATAAGTTCCGGGGCTGTGTTAGTTCAATCGAGCGAAGTGTAGAAAATAGCGAGTAAATTACAACCAAAACCCAAAGGCATTTTTCTGGAATGCTAGGAAGTTAAATTGTCAACGCGCAACCAGATGGTCATTGGTCACACTCCATGCTGATAGTCGGAACTTGTATGAATCATTTATTCTACTCCGTAATCAAATAATAACGTACTGCTTAAAGGGGACTTTGTGTTTGATACACGTTTCATTTCCCAGATATCTGATCTTATGTCCGGTAATTAAGATCTAAGATATATGCCGGGTAACCTGGATGATGATTAATCACTCGACTGTCACGTGACATTTTTATCTTTCTTTGTTTCTTCTTTATCTTAAAAAATATGCAACCTACTAAAACCAATGGGGTCATTCCTCTCGCATTTGCGAGAGTCGTCCCAAACTCAAAGGTGTAAAAGGAGGTCAGGATTTGTTCCCACCAAGCTCTAACATCGCTATTTGTTGACCATCGGCCTCCACTGAAGGTAAGTATTTAGAGAGTGGAGGCCGACCGTCAGCTTGGGATACAGGGCCAAGTGGGACACTACGTCAACAGTCAAGGCCCGTTTCTACTTGGGCCATGTTGGTTTTGGCAGATACTGTGATAATAAGATATGAAGTGAATGAGTGAAATGAAGTGAGTGAAAAGGGTGTAAGAGAGGAGGAGCTTGTAAGGTAATTTAGGAAAGGAATGAAGCAGGGCATGTACTACAAATAACAGCTAGTAGTACTGTGTACTGTAGAAAGTAACTTAACGGGTGATACTCGTAAAATATCTTTTCCATATATTACTATTAGGACGAGTCCAACTCGGCGCGCGTCCTGGTAGGTTGTAAACCTACAAAAAGTAATAATAACCATTACTGTCACCAAGATGTAATTAGATCGAACGCAGAAATTAGATCGAACGGGTTCGATCTAGGAATTAGATCGAACGCGGCGCGGCTTTCAATGTATTTGTACATGTATCTCGCGCCAGCGTTCGATCTAATTCCTGGGTCGAACCGGTTCGATCTAATTTCTGCGTTCGATCTGATTACATCTTGGTGACAGTTAGGGGTCGTTCACATATTACGTAATCAATATTTTGGCAGATTTTACCCCTCCGTCATCAACCGTAATCAAGACCGACCCCCCCCCCCCTATATTACGTAATCAAGGTTTGACCCCCCCCCCCTTGTAGCGCGATGCGCTACTGTGCCGCGCCGAGCTGAGATGAATTGACATCGTCAATTAACCCACCTCCCCGTTATGTTAATGAACATAATAGCCTGGGGTCCTCAGGTAAGACCGAACCCCCTCCTATATTTGATATTACGTATTACGTGATCAAGATTATTAATTTTATTATTATCTATTACATGTTTATGTTGTAACGCGATGCGTTACTGTGCCGCGCCGAGCTGCCATGAATTGACATCGTCAATTAAATGTTCATGTTACGCCATTTATTTATTAGACATAAGAAGTTATCACAGCGGATTAATGAATGAAATAATTGCAAAGCACTTACTTATACTAAACGAAAATTGGTTTAAAAAGGAAAATTTTGATTATGGATTACATAATTAACAAAAATTACTGAATGATTTTGAGCCAAATTAAAGATCGCAGCTTTTTAATTTTTAATTTTAAAGCTGCGATCTTCAATTTTGAATTTGGCTCAAAATCATACTTTTCAGGATAATATAATTCAAAATCTACGTTGTTCCAAACTGTGCTTCTGGGGAGCTAACTTTAGTTTTACGAGGCGGACATTTTTTTGAAAACCAGAACTTTCTATTTCTTTTACTTCCGAAGTTAGGCCCCTACCGGTACGGTTTTCTTTAACGGGTGATACTCATATATTGGACCGTCGACGAGTCCAACTCGGCGCGCGTCCTGGTAGGTTGTAAACCTACAAGGTTTTCTGGGAATGAAGTCATTTTTGCTAGTATACTGCATGAACCGAGATATGTGCAATTTTGTTGCACCGCGGAATGCGCATAGGATTGGCGTTTTTGGTAGTATTAAACAGGATTAAACATAAATTCATCAATTTTTAAAAATGAAACCGAAAGTCTTTAAACTGCTCGTTGTATTGGTTTTATGTATATCGAGTCGCATGACTTGTGACGAAATACCCAATTAGAGTTAGTACAAGCCAAACACAAGGATATCTCGTGTCACAGATCATATGCACCTGTTGCAGACCTTGGTCGCTATAATTGAGCTCTAAGTGACGTTAAGTGACCGGTGAGCCACACTTCTTGACAAATTTTTTTAGAATAACGACCCAATCATAAGGTAAAAAGTGTAAGCTGTATTTTAAGGGCTAATCTCAGTCCATCTAAGTCGTAAGTTTGGAGGAATAATACGGCTAATTTTGCGATTCTAATTTAAAGTCTTAAACTGCAATACCCTGCTACGCGTCAACTGGGCCCAGGAAACCTTACTGGTAGGGGCCTAACTTTGGAAGTAAAAGAAATAGAAACGTCTGGTTTTCAACAAAATGTTCGCCTTGTAAAAATAACGCGGATTAATGAATGAAATAATTGCAAAGCACTTACTTATACTAAACGAAAATTGGTTTAAAAAGGAAAATTTTGATTATGGATTACATAATTAACAAAAATTACTGAATGATTTTGAGCCAAATTAAAGATCGCAGCTTTTTAATTTTTAATTTTAAAGCTGCGATCTTCAATTTTGAATTTGGCTCAAAATCATACTTTTCAGGATAATATAATTCAAAATCTACGTTGTTCCAAACTGTGCTTCTGGGGAGCTAACTTTAGTTTTACGAGGCGGACATTTTTTTGAAAACCAGAACTTTCTATTTCTTTTACTTCCGAAGTTAGGCCCCTACCGGTACGGTTTTCTTTAACGGGTGATACTCATATATTGGACCGTCGACGAGTCCAACTCGGCGCGCGTCCTGGTAGGTTGTAAACCTACACCTTGTAGTACAAGGTTTTCTGGGAATGAAGTCATTTTTGCTAGTATACTGCTTGAACCGAGATATGTGCAATTTTGTTGCACCGCGGAATGCGCATAGGATTGGCGTTTTTGGTAGTATTAAACAGGATTAAACATAAATTCATCAATGATAGCCCTCTCACGTCTTGACTATACATTGTCATTATTATAGGAAAATAAATATTATGCAAGAATGTAGTATAAAGTATCACCAGGCCGTTACACGTTAACAGTAATAGTAACACTTAGGGGTCGTTCACATATTACGTAATCAATATTTTAGCAATTTTTACCCCCTCCCCCCTTCCGTAATCAACCGTAATCAAGACCCAACACCCCCTCCTGACAGCAATATTACGTAATCATGGCCTGACCCCCCCCCCTTGACTTTTTTCCTAGAAGTAGAAAACACTTTTCTCTACGTTTCATGCTACCCTGATCATGCTATCATGATGAGCCGAAATCGTTGTTATGATATCCGGCCAAGCACCTTCTAAACTACTTACTATTATAGCCGGATATTCGATCAATTTCTAAATTTTATCACTATCAGAGTGAAATTGAGTGGAATTTACCTGGGGACCTCAGGCTATTATGTTCATAATCATAATAGAGATTAGGCGGAATGACAGGCTGAGCGCGGCCCAGTAAAGTGGAATTTGAATTAAAATATTGTCAAATTGTTATTATTCTAGAGGGTAAAAAAGAAAATGTTGATTACGTAATCAACGACCGAAACCCCCCCCCCCGTAATCAACCGTAAGCATTTGTAAACCCCCCTCCCCCCTCGGCTGATTACGTAATATGTGAACGACCCCTTAAGCCATGGATCGGGAAATGTTTTCTTATTCATCATTGTTAATGAGTTAATGGACTTACCCGGCGCGCGCGCGTTTGTCTCACGTCGCGATCCTCATTCCTTATGCAATGTCAGGTAAGGGCTTTTGACATGATATGTGTAAGGAACCTCGAAATTCTCTCTAATTCCGATATTCCTTTTAAAAGATAGTTAAATGATTTAGATTTATAGTTAACACATTTCCATTGAAGATAGTAATGAACAATTCCAGTCATTTTGAGCTTGAATAATTTTATGTTTAAGATAGGTATCGTTAAGTTTAGAAGATCATTGAAATAAGATGTGTATTTAAATTAGAGAAGAGATTACGTTTGATAAACAAAATGAAGCGTTTTGTGTTTAACTAATAGACAATTCGACACGGTTGATGACATTCCATGGAGGTGTACAATCAGAACACCACAGAAGATCACCTGATAGCAGACTGGCCTATCGCAGTTTCAGACGAAGATCTATGAATTGTGAGAATGGATGATTAGCAGAGCATAGCAGAGTTTAAACCGTGATGAGCAATAACGATCTTGATGAACAATTACTGATTTTGATGAACCAGACTGATAGACTCTGGGAAAGTCGGAGGGAGTTAAGAGGGAGAGAGATCGGAGATCCGATGTCTTTCTCGGGTCAGTGCAGTCTTATAAGTTTGTTTCAGAGCAGTGCTTATAACAGAGTCCAGTATGCCGGTTCCATCCGGATACTTTAATCTTTCCAGTCATAAGTATTCCAGTAAGTTCCTTGCCTTGATTTAATGTGAGCCTTTCATATTAGTATTTTGTTTCGTATAAAATAGTTTGACGTGATTTTTATATCTATATTGTTTATAAACACTATAAATAGTGTCTATTCCCGTTTCCAATATCCATTTAAATTCTATACGACACACTGAAGGTTAATTCTATTCAGGTTGCTCTGAACCGACACATCGTGTAGTTTACCGGGCAAGTCTTCCATTCCATAATCTAAAGAACCGTGACTAAGTTTCCGGGTAGAAGTAAGCTAACGACGATAAGATTCCCGATCTCCCTCTCACTTGAAGGACCATTATACGGATTGAAGTTGTTCTTGAGGTAAAATCCTTTTCCATTAGTTTTTTTCATATGAAGTAGGTTTAAGAATATAGTTGGTAATTGTAGTTTCGTGCTCTCAAAATTATATACTTTGTACAAACTTCCGTTTCCGTTCCCAGGTCAATAGACCCGAATCTTCCTACTCAGAACGTGCTGCCTTTGCCGATACCTGCTAGATTAATTGATTCTCCGTCGTCAACCGAGGTAATTAGTTCAGTTATAACGTCCGCATAAAATAAGTAGTTGTCTTAAATAGTAAATTTATTAAGTATTATATTATTGTTTATCGAGTAAGACGTGTGCAGGTTTAAAGTAGATTTCCTGTTGGTTACGTAATAAATTGTTTCTATTGCCATAGTTAAAAGATATTGCTTTCAGACCATTCGTGACAGTCAAACTATTGACGGTGAGACTCAGTCAAAGACGCGTGATATTCCAGCCCTCCTACACTATTTCTAAGAGAGAGACTTATCAAAAGGTGATTGCACCAACATAGACTTAGAGTTCCTTTAAATAGGTTATGAGAAGAATTTCTACCGTTTCAATTAATTAGTATAGTATCAAAAGGTTACTTCCATTGTTATATAACCATTTTTCAATTTAAGAAGGTTTTCTCTCATTAATTATACTACCATTAGTCGTTCTATATTTTGTTCTATATTGTCGTTTCAATTTGTGTTAACCCACCAAAATTGAAAGTCTGAATTATAATCACTAACCGCACTAAATTAAATAAGAAGTAACATGAAACTCTGAATTCTAGCAAAATTATAATTTCCCTAAAACAAAAGTTTTAAGACGCTCAATCGTGGGTTCAGAACCTTCCGAGACGGACTCTCTTGATAAAACCGGGGCCTCCCATGTATAGTTCTAGCCAAGTCAAAAGGAGCTCTAAATAAATAATTTCTTGGAGGAAATAAAGTACTACATATCATGGACATGGGAGAGGTGATTATTACCCGGTGCTAGCAACTAATACCTGTCTAATTTGGTACCGTGGTTAATAACAATATGGTCGTGGGTTCAAGTAAGTAATTTTCGAAAAGAAAACGACACGTGTGACAAATTTAGACGAGTATCATCCATCAAATAAAAATTGTTACGTCTATTTAATTGTTGTCATACGTTGTATTATATGACCCGCCGCGCACGAGTGCGTGGCTCCCCCTGTATCGTAGAAACTCTATAGTGAAGCAACAGTGGGAGTCACCACGTGATACAATTTAATTGGGGGTCGTTCACATATCATGTAATCAGCCGAGGTAAGGGGGAGGGGGGTTTCCAAATGAAATTACGCTAGTGTAATTTTGACACAATAGTTAATTGACGATGTCAATTCACGGCAGCTCGGCGCGGCACAGTAGCGCATCTCGCCGAGCTAGCCGATCTGTCGCTGTGAGAAGCCTCATTGACAATTGAGTGCGCGGCGCGGCACAGTAACGCATCGCGCTACAAACACAATAGCTATGTGTAAAACTAATAATTTAGGTACCACATAACACACCAATGTGCAATGGCAATTATATAAGTATTAACGGGTGATACTCTTAAATTTTTTGTTTCGACCGTCGACGAGTCCAACTCGGTGCGCGTCCTGGTACTGGTAGGTCATAAACCTACAATATAAGTACAAAGTAAAAATCATTTTCTTTGAAAATTAAGAAAATAAAAAGCGGGGAACATCAAAAATCACAATTATACATAGTAACTGTAAACCTTTAAAAAACATACACGGGGTAAATATCAAATATTCATTATTTTGAATTTTCGCTGAATAAATTATCAATATTCTCCGGTATAGATTTGTTTTGATATCGGATATAAGACGATCAAACTAACAAGGAGCGAGTAAATATGATCCAGAGCGTTATATACTTATACGGGGCTTAGTAAAAAGCGGTGAATACACATTGCCGAGAGCTAGTTGTTTCCTGAAGGCTTTGCTTTGTTCAGGTGCTACTCCAGCAATTCTCTCCACAAGTTTAGGCTGAAAATTGGCTTCCCTGAGAATGATCCTGTTTCTATATTTCCAAGTGATGAGACACAACAAGGTTGCTCCGATCAAAATGGAGAGAAGGGCTAGCAGGGTTATTTGGTATCCTAACATATTCCCTCCTACTTAGCATCCTGTTAACACTGGACTTACCAATTTGTAAAGGAGTCTGGACGTTTTTAGTATCGATCAATCTGTCACTCTTACTTTTAAAATGGGGTGCGATAATTGGAATCGTTGTTGGAGAGAGGATTTCTTAAACCCTTTTGTAGTTCATTATTCTGTGGGCATGAAATATAATCAATTTACAATTCACTACTACAAATACATTGATAACGAAGATAACTGGTCTACCGTCTATTACAATCGTCATGATATAGGTTTAAAACGAAAAACATCAAACTAAGTAGCAGAATTAGTTTCAAAATTTTGACGGGGCCGGGAATTCAAAATGTAATTCCAAACAAACACATTCAGTAAGGACAGTAATAAAAACAAAAATTGTTGAGCAACATTTAAATTTACAATCTGATTTGGACGTGCACTGTTGACTTTTTGATTTGGACGTGCACTGTTGACTATCTGATTTGGACGTGCACTGTTGACCATTTGATTTAGACGTGCACTGTTGACTATTTGATTTGGACGTGCACTGTTGACTATTTGATTTGGACGTGCACTGTTGAATATTTGATTTGGACGTGCACTGTTGACTATTTGATTTAGACGTGCACTGTTGACTATTTGATTTAGACGTGCACTACTGTCTATTTGATTTAGACGTGCACTATTGACTATTCGATTTAGACGTGCACTGTTGACTATTTGATTTAGACGTGCACTGTTGACTATTTGATTTAGACGTGCACTGTTGATTATCTGATTTGGACGTGCACTGTTGATTATCTGATTTGGACGTGCACTGTTGACTATTTGATTTAGACGTGCACTGTTGACTATTTGATTTAGACGTGCACTGTTGATTATCTGATTTGGACGTGCACTGTTGACTATTTGATTTGGACGTGCACTGTTGATTATTTGATTTAGACGTGCACTGTTGACTATTTGATTTAGACGTGCACTGTTGATTATTTGATTTAGACGTGCACTACTGACTATTTGATTTGAACGTGCACTACTGACTATTTGATTTGGACGTGCACTGTTGACTATTTGATTTGGACGTGCACTGTTGACTATTTTATTTGGACGTGCACTGTTGACTATTTGATTTGGACGTGCACTGTTGATTATTTGATTTAGACGTGCACTGTTGACTATTTGATTTGGACGTGCACTGTTGACTTTTTGATTTGGACGTGCACTGTTGACTATCTGATTTGGACGTGCACTGTTGACTATTTGATTTAGACGTGCACTGTTGATTATTTGATTTAGACGTGCACTGTTGACTATTTGATTTAGACGTGCACTGTTGATTATCTGATTTGGACGTGCACTGTTGACTATTTGATTTAGACGTGCACTGTTGATTATTTGATTTGGACGTGCACTGTTGACTATCTGATTTGGACGTGCACTGTTGACTATTTGATTTGGACGTGCATTGTTGACTATTTGATTTGGACGTGCACTGTTGATTATTTGATTTAGACGTGCACTGTTGACCATTTGATTTAGACGTGCACTGTTGATTATCTGATTTGGACGTGCACTGTTGACTATCTGATTTGGACGTGCACTGTTGACTATCTGATTTGGACGTGCACTGTTGACTATCTGATTTAGACGTGCACTGTTGACTATTTGATTTGGACGTGCACTGTTGACTATTTGAGTTAGACGTGCACTGTTGATTATTTGATTTAGACGTGCACTGTTGACTATCTGATTTGGACGTGCACTGTTGACTATTTGATTTGGACGTGCATTGTTGACTATTTGATTTGGACGTGCACTGTTGATTATTTGATTTAGACGTGCACTGTTGACCATTTGATTTAGACGTGCACTGTTGATTATCTGATTTGGACGTGCACTGTTGACTATCTGATTTGGACGTGCACTGTTGACTATCTGATTTGGACGTGCACTGTTGACTATCTGATTTAGACGTGCACTGTTGACTATTTGATTTGGACGTGCACTGTTGACTATTTGAGTTAGACGTGCACTGTTGATTATTTGATTTAGACCGAGACGTGCACTGTTGACTATTTGATTTAGACGTGCACTGTTGACTGTTTGATTTGGACGTGCATTGTTGACTATCTAATTTAGACGTGCACTGTTGACTATTTGATTTGGACGTGCACTGTTGACTATCTGATTTGGACGTGCACTGTTGACTATTTGATTTGGACGTGCACTGTTGATTATTTGATTTAGACGTGCACTGTTGACTATTTGATTTAGACGTGCACTGTTGATTATTTGATTTGGACGTGCACTGTTGACTATCTGATTTGGACGTGCACTGTTGACTATTTGATTTGGACGTGCATTGTTGACTATTTGATTTGGACGTGCACTGTTGATTATTTGATTTGGACGTGCACTGTTGACTATCTGATTTGGACGTGCACTGTTGACTATCTGATTTGGACGTGCACTGTTGATTATTTGATTTGGACGTGCACTGTTGACTATCTGATTTGGACGTGCACTGTTGAATATTTGATTTGGACGTGCACTGTTGACTATTTGATTTGGACGTGCACTGTTGATTATTTGATTTAGACGTGCACTGTTGACTATTTGATTTAGACGTGCACTGTTGATTATTTGATTTGGACGTGCACTGTTGACTATCTGATTTGGACGTGCACTGTTGACTATTTGATTTGGACGTGCATTGTTGACTATTTGATTTGGACGTGCACTGTTGATTATTTGATTTGGACGTGCACTGTTGACTATCTGATTTGGACGTGCACTGTTGACTATTTGATTTAGACCGAGACGTGCACTGTTGACTATTTGATTTAGATTTGCACTGTTGACTATTTGATTTAGACGTGCACTGTTGACTATCTGATTTGGACGTGCACTGTTGACTATCTGATTTGGACGTGCACTGTTGACTATTTGATTTAGATTTGCACTGTTGACTATTTGATTTAGATTTGCACTGTTGACTATTTGATTTAGACGAGCACTACTGTCTATTTGATTTGGACGTGCACTGTTGACTATCTGATTTGGACGTGCACTGTTGACTATTTGATTTAGACGTGCACTGTTGACTATTTGATTTAGATTTGCACTGTTGACTATTTGATTTAGACGAGCACTACTGTCTATTTGATTTGGACGTGCACTGTTGACTATCTGATTTGGACGTGCACTGTTGACTATCTGATTTGAACGTGCACTGTTGACTATCTGATTTGGACGTGCACTGTTGATTATTTGATTTAGACGTGCACTACTGACTATTTGATTTGAACGTGCACTACTGACTATTTGATTAAGACGTGCACTGTTGACTATCTGATTTGACTATTTGATTTGGACGTGCACTGTTGATTATTTGATTTAGACGTGCACTGTTGACTATTTGATTTGGACGTGCACTGTTGACTATTTGATTTGGACGTGCACTGTTGATTATTTGATTTAGACGTGCACTGTTGACTATTTGATTTGGACGTGCACTGTTGACTATTTGATTTGGACGTGCACTGTTGACTATCTGATTTGGACGTGCACTGTTGACTATCTGATTTAGACGTGCACTGTTGACTATTTGATCAGGACGTGCACTGTTGACTATTTGATTTGGACGTGCACTGTTGACTATTTGATTTAGACGTGCACTGTTGACTATCTGATTTAGACGTGCACTGTTGAATATTTGATTTGGACGTGCACTGTTGACTATTTGATTTAGACGTGCACTGTTGATTATTTGATTTAGACGTGCACTGTTGACTATTTGATTTAGACGTGCACTGTTGACTATTTGATTTAGACGTGCACTGTTGATTATTTGATTTAGACGTGCACTGTTGACTATTTGATTTAGACGTGCACTGTTGACTATTTGATTTAGACGTGCACTGTTGAATATTTGATTTGGACGTGCACTGTTGACTATTTGATTTAGACGTGCACTGTTGACTATTTGATTTAGACGTGCACTGTTGATTATTTGATTTAGACGTGCACTGTTGATTATTTGATTTAGACGTGCACTGTTGACTATTTGATTTAGACGTGCACTGTTGACTATTTGATTTAGACGTGCACTGTTGACTATTTGATTTAGACGTGCACTGTTGACTATTTGATTTAGACGTGCACTGTTGACTATTTGATTTAGACGTGCACTGTTGAATATTTGATTTGGACGTGCACTGTTGACTATTTGATTTAGACGTGCACTGTTGATTATTTGATTTAGACGTGCACTGTTGACTATTTGTTTTGGACGTGCACTGTTGACTATTTGATTTGGACGTGCACTGTTGACTATTTGATTTGGACGTGCACTGTTGACTATTTGATTTGGACGTGCACTGTTGACTATCTGATTTGGACGTGCACTGTTGACTATTTGATTTGGACGTGCACTGTTGACTATTTGATTTGGACGTGCACTGTTGACTATTTGATTAAGACGTGCACTGTTGACTATTTGATTTGGACGTGCACTGTTGACTATTTGATTTGGACGTGCACTGTTGACTATTTGATTTGGACGTGCACTGTTGACTATTTGATTTGGACGTGCACTGTTGACTATTTGATTTGGACGTGCACTGTTGACTATTTTATTTGGACGTGCACTGTTGACTATTTTATTTGGACGTGCACTGTTGACTATTTGATTTGGACGTGCACTGTTGATTATTTGATTTAGACGTGCACTGTTGATTATCTGATTTGGACGTGCACTGTTGACTATTTGATTTGGACGTGCACTGTTGAATATTTGATTTGGACGTGCACTGTTGACTATTTGATTTGGACGTGCACTGTTGACTATTTGATTTGGACGTGCACTGTTGACTATCTGATTTAGACGTGCACTGTTGACTGTTTTAATCGACTGAAGATAATTACAAAATATTAAAGGTACATAAAATTGACGAAACTAATTCTAGATTTGGAGGCGTTTCACAAACACAAAAAAGAAAGAAATTGAAAACCAAAAGGAGGCTTTATAGTACTATACTGTGTGAGTAGTACAACCTCCTAATGCGACAACAAGCAAGCAGGCACCAGGAAGCGTGCTGTATATAAAATGTAGAGTAATTAGACCACACGGAGGAAGATGTGCCTATTTGGGTATAATCTGGCTCGATATATATACATTATACATATATAGAGCATGTATAATGTATATACTGCAGCATGAGCAGGCAGTATATGAAACAGGAGGGACGTCTTCTTAGAACGCGAGGAGAGTTAGGACTTCTCGAACTACATTAAATCGATTGCTTCTGTAACGTCCTCATTCAATGTAGTAATTAGCTTAAAACTACAGCAGGTCCAAGTTGGTCGATGATTCAGTATTACTATTGGATGCGCACGCAACGTCCGCTCAAAGTTTGTACGTGCGAAAGGTGAACATTTTATGATTTCGATTAGATTCTGCTTTCCCACAGGCACAATTACAGTTAAATGACATGTATAATTAATGTAATACCAACTTGAATGAGTATAAAGTGAAATATTCCTAGTCAGTGATCGAGAAGAGTGCTGACTTTAAGTCAAACGCAAGTAATTTGGTCATACATCAGTATTCCGACGGCAGTACGGCGGTAGTACGGCGGCAGTACGGCGGCAGCACGGCGGCAGTACGGCGGCAGCACGGCGGCAGTACGGCGGCAGCACGGCGGCAGCACGGCGGCAGTACGGCGGCAGTACGGCGGCAGCACGGCGGCAGCACGGCGGCAGTACGGCGGCAGTACGGCGGCAGTCCCGCGGCAGTGCCACGGCAGTATAGTGACAACACTTATATCAGACTTTTGATCCAATTATTTCATGAGTTTGATGATTAGTTCACATTGATTTGTCAATTAAAAACATATTTCGAGAAATCAATAAGTTGTAAGTAAGTTCATACAATATCATTATAACTTTAAATCAGTAACTGTCACCCTGCAGCAATAAAATAATTTACATTTAGAGAATCTTTCCAGCAGCAATTGCGAGTCGTTTCTTCTCCAGAAAGTCACTCTGCTTGAGGATAGCCCCACATCGGTCAGAGAGAATCTGCTAGTTGATCCTGTCAGTCCGCTCCTCCTTGAGAATCTGTTTGATGAGACTGCCGAATCGTGGTCTATCAAGGATAATCAGCTCTGCTATCTTCTTCTTGCGGTAGAAGGATCTTTCAGGGATTCGTTTCTGTTTCAGGAACTTTGAGAGGCTGATGGAGGTATCAGGACGGTTGGCAAAGTCTCTGTGCACTCTGTTGTAGGAGGATAAGGCTTCGCCAGCTACAGAGGAGCGGGAGTAGGTTTCATAAGTGTTCAGATGGCGTCTACTAGGTGGTGGTGAGGAACTGGAAGAGGGTCGGGTAGGTGTAACCACAGGTCTTACTAGGCGAGCATTATCGGTATCTGGTGGAGTAGCTCCTCCTCGTCTAGAAGGTATAACAGCTTGAGTGGCACCAGGAAGGATAGTAGGATCGTTGGTAGGACTAGGAGAGAGGGGACGAGATCTCTTTCGTGTTGGGGTAGCCAGTAGTGTCGTTCGATGTAAACTGCAGAGGGATATGTTCAGCTGTAGTTCTCCAGAAGGTAGTCGAGTGTAGTCCTCTGTCCTGTAATCTTTACAATCTCTGAGTTTGATATCCTGAAACAAGAAGCAGAAGAACAAACCCCAAGCTGCAACTACTGATGCTGGAACTAGTGTTAAGCCTGCTAACCGTTCTATTGGACTTCAAGCTATCTCCTGTGACCGCTGCAAAGGACTTGGACACACCCCCACACTTTGTCCTGACAATTCTGACACCACTTCCTCAACACCTAATGCTGTCTTCTGCTCACACTGTAAGCTGAAATCTCGCTACGAGGGCGAAACTATGAAGATCGAGGTGCAGTTGTGTCCAGCTCATATACCTGCTGTGGTAGAGTCCTCGTCCTTCAAGAAGAAAGAACGAGTCCGCGACTTCCTCAAAAAGATCGACAACATGGTTAACGCAGGAGCTTCTCTAGATGACGCTGTGAGTTACATGGGTATCACATCAGAGAAATACAAAAGATACCAGAAGTACCTGCAATGAATCTGAATTATTTTAATATTTTATTGCTCCAGGGTGACAGTTACTGATTTAAAGTTATAATGATATTGAATGAACTTATTTACAACTTATTGATTTCTCGAAATATGTTTTTAATTGACAAATCAATGTGAACTAATCATCAAACTCATGAAATAATTGGATCAAAAGTCTGATATAAGTGTTGTCACTATACTGCCGTGGCACTGCAGTGGCACTGCCGCCGTACTGCCGCCGTGCTGCCGCCGTGCTGCCGCCGTACTGCCGCCGTACTGCCGCCGTACTGCCGCCGTGCTGCCGCCGTACTGCCGCCGTACTGCCGTCGGAATACTGATGTATGACCTGTAATTTAATAGGTAAAATTTCGAAAATCCCGATTGGGTAGATTGGACCGTGTTCACCTTTTCCAAACAAAAAGAAATTATATCAATGTGAATTACCGTTCTCAAATGCAAAATTATACTTAGAATGAAATGGGTGTCTCGCTTTTCCCATTCATTGAGGAGCATGTTTACCCGTAGTATAGGTATAGTACGGGTAAATAACCACCACGTGTTACATTTCGTCCGCGCTGTGATTGGATGATATAAGGCGTTGTGATTGGACGATATAACGTGCGCTCATTGGTCAGATATTTAGTTGATGAACCAATGGCAATGGACGCGGCGATCTGAACAGCGAGTATTTTCCGCATTATTATAGTATTGGGCCCTAACGATGCAATAAACCTCACCTCATTAGACGGACTATTATCTGGGGACCCCCAGTAAGACAGTCGGTAACATGACATCTGTCCGACAGCGACATCTGTCCGACAGCGACATCTGTCCGACAGCGACATCTGTCCGACAGCGACATCTGTCCGACAGCGACATCTGTCCGACAGCGACATCTGTCCGACAGCGACATCTGTCCGACAGCGACATCTGTCCGACAGCGACATCTGTCCGACAGCGACATCTGTCCGACAGCGACATCTGTCCGACAGCGACATCTGTCCGACAGCGACATCTGTCCGACAGCGACATCTGTCCGACAGCGACATCTGTCCGACAGCGACATCTGTCCGACAGCGACATCTGTCCGACAGCGACATCTGTCCGACAGCGACATCTGTCCGACAGCGACATCTGTCCGACAGCGACATCTGTCCGACAGCGACATCTGTCCGACAGCGACATCTGTCCGACAGCGACATCTGTCCGACAGCGACATCTGTCCGACAGCGACATCTGTCCGACAGCGACATCTGTCCGACAGCGACATCTGTCCGACAGCACTATTTTCTTGTGTTTGAAGTGACACTGATATCTAAAATTTGGCACATAGAAATTTACCCAAACTTGCACAAATTAATTGTCTTAAAGCTATTTTACTATCAAGAAAGTTTCAAGAAAATCGTATTGCTGGATCTCCAGATATATGCCTTGGACACACTGCAAACCACCAAATTGGAGATATATTTTGTGTTTAAGGTGATATCTCAAATTTGGCACATAGAAACTCGCTCAAACTTACACAGATTATCCGTCCTATAACCACCATACTTTATGGAAAGTTTTAAGAAAATCGTACGGTAGGTTCCGACATAAACGTTTGTCCGAATAACCTATTTTCTGAGTCGGACAGATGTCGCCCAATCAAGACAGACTACCTATCGCTTTTAATTTTATTTCGAAGTATGTATCGGCCCGGAAGTAAGCCAACGAGATTTCTACAAAGTGTGATTGATTTAATAAACCTAAACTAATTACAATTTTCTGTGTGAGTAATAGTTCTACTCAAACAGCAAACTGTAACTATAGTTAACTACTAGTTAACAAACTACTCATTACACCACTCCCCTTGTAAAACTTAACTTACTTCCTCAGAGTTTTGTCGGCAAATAAACCGAAAAAGCCATTTGTAAATTATTATTATAATTATACATTGTTGGGCACTACGGGCCAAACCACATTATAGTTAGAGTTTCACTCTTTATTTTTATGGCATTGAAGGTTTAACAGTAAAACGAACGAAATTATCTACGTAAATAATAACCAATCGATGCACTCAAGAATATCAATAAGATTTACTAGATATTAAAAAGTAGTAAAACTAATTTTAAAACATATAGAAAGATATAACATTATATATACTATTAATCCCAATATTATACATTATATATGATAATCCTGCGACCTTGCAGTGCGATCCAGAAACTATTAAAACCGAATGTGATATCAACTCAATAACCAATGAAGCAAGTTTGAATATTGTCCTAATCGCACTACATTATTATATCTGAAATCTGCACTTTACTTCCTTGTACTTGATCAGCAGCGGACTGTAAGTAAGCTAAAAATATAAACAAAAATAAAATACTTTATTATAATTTCAATTTCATGAAAAGTCTTTTATTTGGTTTTACAGTAAATTTACAAAAATTGCCCTCCAAACTGACATTTAACATCGAACTAAGAGTAAAAGAGCACTAACTAAAACCTGAGTATTGAGTAACCTATAAGTATTACACTACTTCAGCTATCAATAGTTTTAAATATATCGTCTAAAATACTGCAACTTGAAAACATCATTTGACTAAATCAACTATTGTCCTAATAGGGACCTTCATCAAATTCTTTAAAGCACCTTCCAGTTATAAACTGAATAATAAAGAATCAACTTGTTACAAAAACAATAACTGATAATATCTGATTTAACGCGTTTCCTTTCCGTAGTCGACTCAGTGAGAATATTTTGCTTCTCACTGAGTCGACTACAGAAAATAAACTCGTTAAATCAAACTATAAAGTTAAACTGTTAAGTTAACACCTGGAAAATGCATATCATTTTCATTAAAAAACTCACTTAAATAACTTAATATCATAACCACGTGAAGAGTTGGCTTAAAAATGTACAAAAGCTTAGAGGAGGATGAGTAAGAAGGAGCAGGAGGAGGGGTCAGGAGGAGGAGGAGGGGTAAGGAGGAGGGGTGAGGAGGAGGAGTGAGAGTTAAGAGGAGGGGTAAGAAGCAGGAGTGAGAGTTAAGAGGAGGGGTAAGAAGGAGGAGTGAGAGTTAAGAGGAGGGGTAAGGAGGAGGAGTAAGAGTTAAGAGGAGGGGTAAGAAGGAGGAGTGAGAGTTAATAGGAGGGGTAAGAAGCAGGAGTGAGAGTTAAGAGGAGGGGTAAGAAGGAGGAGTGAGAGTTAAGAGGAGGGGTAAGAAGGAGGCGTGAGAGTTAAGAGGAGGGGTAAGAAGCAGGAGTGAGAGTTAAGAGGAGGGGTAAGAAGGAGGAGTGAGAGTTAAGAGGAGGGGTAAGGAGGAGGAGTAAGAGTTAAGAGGAGGGGTAAGAAGGAGGAGTGAGAGTTAATAGGAGGGGTAAGAAGCAGGAGTGAGAGTTAAGAGGAGGGGTAAGAAGGAGGAGTGAGAGTTAAGAGGAGGGGTAAGAAGCAGGAGTGAGAGTTAAGAGGAGGGGTAAGAAGGAGGAGTGAGAGTTAAGAGGAGGGGTAAGAAGCAGGAGTGAGAGTTAAGAGGAGGGGTAAGAAGGAGGAGTGAGAGTTAAGAGGAGGGGTAAGGAGGAGGAGTGAGAGTTAAGAGGAGGGGTAAGAAGGAGGAGTGAGAGTTAAGAGGAGGGGTAAGAAGGAGGAGTGAGAGTTAAGAGGAGGGGTAAGAAGGAGGGGTGAGAGTTAAGAGGAGGGGTAAGAAGGTGGAGTGAGAGTTAAGAGGAGGGGTAAGAAGGAGGAGTGAGAGTTAAGAGGAGGGGTAAGAAGGTGGAGTGAGAGTTAAGAGGAGGGGTAAGAAGGAGGAGTGAGAGTTAAGAGGAGGGGTAAGGAGGAGGAGTGAGAGTTAAGAGGAGGGGTAAGGAGGAGGAGTGAGAGTTAAGAGGAGGGGTAAGAAGCAGGAGTGAGAGTTAAGAGGAGGGGTAAGAAGGAGGAGTGAGAGTTAAGAGGAGGGGTAAGAAGCAGGAGTGAGAGTTAAGAGGAGGAGTAAGAAGCAGGAGTGAGAGTTAAGAGGAGGGGTAAGAAGGAGGAGTGAGAGTTAAGAGGAGGGGTAAGAAGGAGGAGTGAGAGTTAAGAGGAGGGGTAAGAAGCAGGAGTGAGAGTTAAGAGGAGGGGTAAGAAGGAGGAGTGAGAGTTAAGAGGAGGGGGAAGAAGCAGGAGTGAGAGTTAAGAGGAGGGGTAAGAAGCAGGAGTGAGAGTTAAGAGGAGGGGTAAGAAGGAGGAGTGAGAGTTAAGAGGAGGGGTAAGAAGGAGGAGTGAGAGTTAAGAGGAGGGGTAAGAAGGAGGAGTGAGAGTTAAGAGGAGGGGTAAGAAGAAGGAGTGAGAGTTAAGAGGAGGGGTAAGAAGCAGGAGTGAGAGTTAAGAGGAGGGGTAAGAAGGAGGAGTGAGAGTTAAGAGGAGGGGTAAGAAGGAGGAGTGAGAGTTAAAAGGAGGGGTAAGAAGGAGGAGTGAGAGTTAAGAGGAGGGGTAAGAAGGAGGAGTGAGAGTTAAGAGGAGGGGTAAGAAGGAGGAGTGAGAGTTAAGAGGAGGGGTAAGGAGGAGGGGTGAGGAGGAGGAGGGGTAAGAAGGAGGAGTGAGAGTTAAGAGGAGGGGTAAGAAGGAGGAGTGAGAGTTAAGAGGAGGGGTAAGAAGGAGGAGTGAGAGTTAAGAGGAGGGGTAAGAAGGAGGAGTGAGAGTTAAGAGGAGGGGTAAGAAGGAGGAGTGAGAGTTAAGAGGAGGGGTAAGGAGGAGGGGTGGAGGAGGAGGAGGGGTAAGAAGGAGGAGTGAGAGTTAAGAGGAGGGGTAAGAAGGAGGAGTGAGAGTTAAGAGGAGGGGTAAGAAGGAGGAGTGAGAGTTAAGAGGAGGGGTAAGAAGGAGGAGTGAGAGTTAAGAGGAGGGGTAAGAAGGAGGAGTGAGAGTTAAGAGGAGGGGTAAGAAGGAGGAGTGAGAGTTAAGAGGAGGGGTAAGAAGGAGGAGTAAGAGTTAAGAGGAGGGGTAAGAAGGAGGAGTGAGAGTTAAGAGGAGGGGTAAGAAGGAGGAGTGAGAGTTAAGAGGAGGGGTAAGAAGGAGGAGTGAGAGTTAAGAGGAGGGGTAAGAAGGAGGAGTAAGAGTTAAGAGGAGGGGTAAGAAGGAGGAGTGAGAGTTAAGAGGAGGGGTAAGAAGGAGGAGTGAGAGTTAAGAGGAGGGGTAAGAAGGAGGAGTGAGAGTTAAGAGGAGGGGTAAGAAGGAGGAGTGAGAGTTAAGAGGAGGGGTAAGAAGGAGCAGTGAGAGTTAAGAGGAGGGGTAAGAAGGAGGAGTGAGAGTTAAGAGGAGGGGTAAGAAGGAGGAGTGAGAGTTAAGAGGAGGGGTAAGAAGGAGGAGTGAGAGTTAAGAGGAGGGGTAAGAAGGAGGAGTGAGAGTTAAGAGGAGGGGTAAGAAGGAGGAGTGAGAGTTAAGAGGAGGGGTAAGAAGGAGGAGTGAGAGTTAAGAGGAGGGGTAAGAAGGAGGAGTGAGAGTTAAGAGGAGGGGTAAGAAGGAGGAGTGAGAGTTAAGAGGAGGGGTAAGAAGGAGGAGTGAGAGTTAAGAGGAGGGGTAAGAAGGAGGAGTGAGAGTTAAGAGGAGGGGTAAGAAGGAGGAGTGAGAGTTAAGAGGAGGGGTAAGAAGGAGGAGTGAGAGTTAAGAGGAGGGGTAAGAAGGAGGAGTGAGAGTTAAGAGGAGGGGTAAGAAGGAGGAGTGAGAGTTAAGAGGAGGGGTAAGGAGGAGGGGTGAGGAGGAGGAGGGGTAAGAAGCAGGAGTGAGAGTTAAGAGGAGGGGTAAGAAGGAGGAGTGAGAGTTAAGAGGAGGGGTAAGAAGCAGGAGTGAGAGTTAAGAGGAGGGGTAAGAAGCAGGAGTGAGAGTTAAGAGGAGGGGTAAGAAGGAGGAGTGAGAGTTAAGAGGAGGGGTAAGAAGGAGGAGTGAGAGTTAAGAGGAGGGGTAAGAAGGAGGAGTGAGAGTTAAGAGGAGGGGTAAGAAGGAGGAGTGAGAGTTAAGAGGAGGGGTAAGAAGGAGGAGTGAGAGTTAAGAGGAGGGGTAAGAAGGAGGAGTGAGAGTTAAGAGGAGGGGTAAGAAGGAGGAGTGAGAGTTAAGAGGAGGGGTAAGAAGGAGGAGTGAGAGTTAAGAGGAGGGGTAAGAAGGAGGAGTGAGAGTTAAGAGGAGGGGTAAGAAGGAGGAGTGAGAGTTAAGAGGAGGGGTAAGAAGCAGGAGTGAGAGTTAAGAGGAGGGGTAAGAAGGAGCAGTGAGAGTTAAGAGGAGGGGTAAGAAGGAGGAGTGAGAGTTAAGAGGAGGGGTAAGAAGCAGGAGTGAGAGTTAAGAGGAGGGGTAAGAAGCAGGAGTGAGAGTTAAGAGGAGGGGTAAGAAGGAGGAGTGAGAGTTAAGAGGAGGGGTAAGAAGGAGGAGTGAGAGTTAAGAGGAGGGGTAAGAAGGAGGAGTGAGAGTTAAGAGGAGGGGTAAGGAGGAGGGTGAGGAGGAGGAGGGGTAAGAAGGAGGAGTGAGAGTTAAGAGGAGGGGTAAGAAGGAGGAGTGAGAGTTAAGAGGAGGGGTAAGAAGGAGGAGTGAGAGTTAAGAGGAGGGGTAAGAAGGAGGAGTGAGAGTTAAGAGGAGGGGTAAGAAGGAGGAGTGAGAGTTAAGAGGAGGGGTAAGAAGGAGGAGTGAGAGTTAAGAGGAGGGGTAAGGAGGAGGGGTGAGGAGGAGGAGGGGTAAGAAGGAGGAGTGAGAGTTAAGAGGAGGGGTAAGAAGGAGGAGTGAGAGTTAAGAGGAGGGGTAAGAAGGAGGAGTGAGAGTTAAGAGGAGGGGTAAGAAGGAGGAGTGAGAGTTAAGAGGAGGGGTAAGAAGGAGGAATGAGAGTTAAGAGGAGGGGTAAGAAGCAGGAGTGAGAGTTAAGAGGAGGGGTAAGAAGGAGGAGTGAGAGTTAAGAGGAGGGGTAAGAAGGAGGAGTGAGAGTTAAGAGGAGGGGGAAGGTACAGCAGGTATGTCGTGAACCATATTAGTAATATCAGCGTTTAGGGGCGTCAACATCCTGAAAAAATCTTGTCCATCAATATTACGTACAGTTTCACGTGATCCTACATATTTAAAATAGTTTGTTTTTTTTGAAGAAAAATAGATAAATTACAGTTTCAGTGTGCTAGTAGTTGTAGTAGTAGTATCTTTATTTTGGTTCAGCAGATGGACAGGGCTTAGGGGTGAACATCCTGAAAGTGATTAAATCCCATTTCAATTATTATAATCCGACTAACGTATCTTCAACAATACAGAAACAAAAGTGATTGATAAAATATTTTGCGATGATTAACAGAATTTAAGAAGGAGTACTTACCATGTTAATCTGCCGAGGTGAGAGTTGCTGCCAGAGTGTTTGATGGGATCGTACATGATACGAGGGAATATGGCTACAAGCAACACCAGGAACACCATGAAGACGAACACCAGCTGACCGAGAATGAGCATGTCGCTCGGGTAACCACCGTACGACGTCTCTATATCACCCTGAACAGTGTTTGTTAGAGCATGTCGCTCGGGTAACCACCGTACGAGGTCTCTAAATCACCCTGAACAGTGTTTGTTAGAGCATGTCGCTGGGGTAACCACCGTACGACGTCTCTATATCACCCTGAACAGTGTTTGTTAGAGCATGTCGCTCGGGTAACCACCGTACGAGGTCTCTAAATCACCCTGAACAGTGTTTGTTAGAGCATGTTGCTCGGGTAACCACCGTAAGAGGTCTCTATATCACCCTGTGTTGTTAATAATAGTTCACATCAGGATTGTCACGTGATAAAATGCCTATATCAGTGTATCTTAATTACTTGATGTCACGTACCTTGATGTTGATGCAGGTAACGACAAGGAGCAGAGCATATGAGAAGTACTTGATGAGGAACCCAAAAGCGATGCAGAAACAGTCGTGTCTGTAGAGGGCCTCAATCTCGCCTGGTGATTAGTTGGTTTGTGTCACGTGGTGTGAATACTGTGTTCTGATTGGTTGGTTTGTTGCACGGGGTGTAAATACTGTGTTCTGATTGGTTGGTTTGTTGCACGTGATAATAAAGAAAAACAAACTGTACGGTTAGTAGAGTATACAACGTTAGGATACTTGGATACATCTATTTTATTGGCAAGTTGCCAAGAACTCACTCTTCAACGTGTTTGGTACCCAGACTCCATCTTTTTCCTTGTTTCGGACTACGTTGTTAACTTGTGTTCTGAGACTGTCTGCTCCGTGCCATCTGGGGAACATTTGCAGGTCAGTATACATTCATACACTAGACTTGTTTTAATAGGTATTGTAGCTGCAGCAAAGTAGCTAGCTGCAGTAAAGTAGCTGCAGCAAAGTAGCTGCAGTAGAATAGCTGCAGTAAAGTAACTGCAGTAGAGTAGGTAGCTGCAGTAAAGTAGCTGTAGTAGAGAAGCTGCAGTTAAGTAGCTGCAGTACAGTAGCTGCAGTAAAGTAGCTGCAGCAGAATAGCTGCAGTTATGTAGCCGCTGTAAAGTAACTGCAGTAGAGTAGCTACAGTTAACTAGCTGTAGTTAGGTATCTGCAGTTAAGTATCTGCAGTTAAGTAGCTGCAGTTAAGTAGCTGCAGTAAAGTAACTGCAGTAGAGTAGCTACAGTAAAGAAGCTGCAGTAAAGTAGCTGCAGTTAAGTAGCTGCAGTTAAGTAGCTGCAGTAGAGAAGCTTCAGTAGATAAGCTGCAGTTAAGTATCTGCAGTAGAGTAGCTACAGTAAAGTAACTGCAGTAGAGAAGCTGCAGTTAAGTAGCTGCAGTAAAGTAACTGCAGTAGAGAAGCTTCAGTTAAGTAGCTGCAGTTAACTAGCTGCAGTTAAGTAGCTGCGGTAAAAAACTGCAGTAGAGAAGCTTCAGTTAAGTAGCTGCAGTTAACTAGCTGCAGTTAAGTAAGCTGCAGTAAAGTAACTGCAGTAGAGAAGCTGCAGTTAAGTAGCTGCAGTTAACTAGCTGCAGTTAAGTAGCTGCAGTAAAGTAACTGCAGTAGAGAAGCTTCAGTTAAGTAGCTGCAGTTAACTAGCTGCAGTTAAGTAGCTGCAGTAAAGTAACTGCAGTAGAGAAGCTGCAGTTAACTAGCTGCAGTTAACTAGCTGCAGTTAAGTAGCTGCAGTAAAGTACTGCAGTAGAGAAGCTTCAGTTAAGTAGCTGCAGTTAACTAGCTGCAGTTAAGTAGCTGCAGTAAAGTAACTGCAGTAGAGAAGCTGCAGTAAAGTAGCTGCAGTTAAGTAGCTACAGTTAACTAGCTGCAGTAAAGTAGCTGTAGTTAAGTAACTGCAGTAAAGTAACTGCAGTATAGAAGCTGTAGTTAAGTATCAGCAGTACAGTAGCTGCAGTAAAGTAGCTGCAGTTAAGTAGCTGCATTTAACTAGCTGCATTTAACTAACTGCAGTAAAGTAACTGCAGTATAGAAGCTGTAGTAGAGAAGCTGCAGTACTAACCCCATGATGGCCCACAGTTTAGATCCGATGCCTGAAGCAGGTCCCTTGCTCAGTACAACAGCTATACAGGTGAGCAGGATCCACCCGATGAAGAAAATGGCGAGCCCAACTCCAAGCTGAAAATAAGAAACTCAACCTCACTAAATATTTTGATGGTCCAATTGATTAATTAATTGAATAATGAATGGCTATAGTGCTAGTAAGAATCAGGAATATTTATATCAAAAAGTTAACAATTGATATTAAGAATTCGTTAACAAGCAAGATGGTCTGAATATCTAAATATAAAAGATGATTTATTACTCAAATTGTTCTATAAAATTGACTAAAAATAGACTTACCGCTCCTCCCTGATCTTTTCCGTAACTAGCTAGTAGTGCGTCTAGTACCGCTTTTGTTCCTTCTGTTGGCTTTTTACCGGGAATCGCCAAAGCTACAATCGTACCGATAAGGAGGAAGAAAACGAAGCCTAAGTTGTAGACCATGACTGACAATTTGCCCACCTGTGTAATTAAGCAACTTTTATACATTGTATATTATAATTGAATAATGTATATTATATATCCAATAGTTATTTAGTCTCATCAATATTTAAACTGTAAAGATTACTGATTGGGAATGTCACCTGTTTGTATTGATCTTCAATTTTATAGACCCACCCTACTGCAAAACACTCCAGGGTCCCTATAAGCACCATCCCCCAGTTGTTCAGGTAGTTGTCAATGATATCTAGATAAACTGTACCACTGAAAGTAATACATCATCAACCACGTGATGCCCTAATAAGGTAATGTTGGTAAATAACCACGTGATGCCCTAATAAGGTAATGTTGGTAAATAACCACGTGATTACCTAATGAGGTAATGTTGGTAAATAACCACGTGATGCCCTAATAAACTGTACCACTGTTAGTAATACATCATCAATTATTATTTAGTTAATCAATCAATATTGATTTTCGTGATTTTTGGATGTTTATCTAATTTATATTATTACATTAAATAATAATAAATATTTATTGATGTCGTGTGTAGCTGGTGTGTAGCTGTGTGTGTGAGCTGTGTGTGTAGTGTGTGTGTTAGCTGTGTGTAGCTGTGTGTGTAGCAGTGTGTGTAGCTGTGTGTAGCTGTGTGTGTAGCTGTGTGTGTAGCTGTGTGTGTAGCTGTGTGTAGCTGTGTGTAGCAGGTGTGTGTAGCTGAGTGTGTAGCTGTGTGTGTAGCTGGTGTGTGTAGCTGTGTGTGTAGCTGTGTGTGAAGCTGTGTGTGTAGCTGTGTGTGTAGTGTGTGTGTAGCTGTGTGTAGCTGTGTGTGTAGCTGTGTGTGTAGCTGTTGTGTAGCTGTGAGTGTAGCAGTGTGTGTAGCTGTGTGTGTAGCTGTGTGTGTAGCAGTGTGTATAGCTGTGTGTGTAGCTGTGTGTGTAGCTGTGTGTGTAGCTGTGTGTGTAGCTGTGTGTAGCTGTGGTGTAGCTGTGTGAGAAGCAGTGTGTGTAGCTGTGTGTAAGCAGTGTGTGTAGCTGTGTGTAGTAGCTGATGTGTAGCTGTGTGTACTGTGTGTAGTGGTGTGTAGTGTGTGTGTAGCTGTGTGTAGCTGTGTGTAGCTGTTGTGAGTAGCAGTGTGTGTAGAGATGTGTGTGTAGCTGTGTGTGAAGCTGTGTGTGGTAGCTGTGTGTGTAGCGTGGGTGTAAGCTGTGTGTGTAGCTGTTTGTGTCGCTGAGTTGGTGTAGCTGTGTGTTGTAGTGTAGTAGTGTCGCTGTGTGGTAGCTGTGTGTGATTGTCGCTGTGTGTAGCTGTGTGTAAGCTGTGAGTGTAGCAGAGTGAGTTGTTAGGCTGTGTGTGTAGCTGGTGTGTAGTGTGTGTAGCTGTGTGAAGCTGAGTGTGTAGCTCGTGTGTAGCTGTGTGTGTAGTGTTGGTAGCCTGTGTGTAGCTGAGTGTAGCTGTGTGTCGCTGTGTGTAGCAGTGTGTGTGAGATGGTGTAGTGTGTGTGAGCTGTGTGTGAGCTGTGTGTTAGCAGTGTGTGTAGCTGTGTGTGTAGCTAGTTGTGTAGTGTGAGTAGCTGTGTGTGTAGCTGTGTGTAGCTGTGTGTAGCTGTGTGTGTAGCTGTGTGTAGCTGTGTGTAGCTGTGTGTGTAGCTGTGTGTGTAGCTGTGTGTGTAGCTGTGTGTGTAGCTGTGTGTGTAGCTGTGTGTGTAGCTGTGTGTGTAGCTGTGTGTGTAGCTGTGTGTGTAGCTGTGTGTGTAGCTGTGTGTGTAGCTGTGTGTAGCTGTGTGTGTAGCTGTGTGTAGCTGTGTGTGTAGCTGTGTGTGTAGCTGTGTGTGTAGCTGTGTGTGTAGCTGTGTGTGTAGCTGTGTGTGTAGCTGTGTGTAGCTGTGTGTAGCTGTGTGTAGCTGTGTGTAGCTGTGTGTGTAGCTGTGTGTGTAGCTGTGTGTGTAGCTGTGTGTGTAGCTGTGTGTGTAGCTGTGTGTGTAGCTGTGTGTGTAGCTGTGTGTGTAGCTGTGTGTGTAGCTGTGTGTGTAGCTGTGTGTGTAGCTGTGTGTGTAGCTGTGTGTGTAGCTGTGTGTGTAGCTGTGTGTGTAGCTGTGTGTAGCTGTGTGTGTAGCTGTGTGTGTAGCTGTGTGTGTAGCTGTGTGTAGCTGTGTGTGTAGCTGTGTGTGTAGCTGTGTGTGTAGCTGTGTGTAGCTGTGTGTGTAGCTGTGTGTGTAGCTGTGTGTAGCTGTGTGTAGCTGTGTGTGTAGCTGTGTGTGTAGCTGTGTGTGTAGCTGTGTGTGTAGCTGTGTGTGTAGCTGTGTGTGTAGCTGTGTGTGTAGCTGTGTGTGTAGCTGTGTGTGTAGCTGTGTGTGTAGCTGTGTGTGTAGCTGTGTGTGTAGCTGTGTGTAGCTGTGTGTGTAGCTGTGTGTAGCTGTGTGTAGCTGTGTGTAGCTGTGTGTGTAGCTGTGTGTGTAGCTGTGTGTGTAGCTGTGTGTAGCTGTGTGTGTAGCTGTGTGTGTAGCTGTGTGTGTAGCTGTGTGTGTAGCTGTGTGTGTAGCTGTGTGTGTAGCTGTGTGTGTAGCTGTGTGTGTAGCTGTGTGTAGCTGTGTGTGTAGCTGTGTGTGTAGCTGTGTGTGTAGCTGTGTGTGTAGCTGTGTGTGTAGCTGTGTGTGTAGCTGTGTGTGTAGCTGTGTGTGTAGCTGTGTGTGTAGCTGTGTGTGTAGCTGTGTGTGTAGCTGTGTGTGTAGCTGTGTGTAGCTGTGTGTGTAGCTGTGTGTGTAGCTGTGTGTGTAGCTGTGTGTGTAGCTGTGTGTAGCTGTGTGTGTAGCTGTGTGTGTAGCTGTGTGTAGCTGTGTGTGTAGCTGTGTGTGTAGCTGTGTGTGTAGCTGTGTGTGTAGCTGTGTGTAGCTGTGTGTGTAGCTGTGTGTGTAGCTGTGTGTGTAGCTGTGTGTGTAGCTGTGTGTAGCTGTGTGTGTAGCTGTGTGTGTAGCTGTGTGTAGCTGTGTGTAGCTGTGTGTGTAGCTGTGTGTGTAGCTGTGTGTGTAGCTGTGTGTGTAGCTGTGTGTGTAGCTGTGTGTGTAGCTGTGTGTGTAGCTGTGTGTGTAGCTGTGTGTGTAGCTGTGTGTGTAGCTGTGTGTGTAGCTGTGTGTGTAGCTGTGTGTGTAGCTGTGTGTGTAGCTGTGTGTGTAGCTGTGTGTGTAGCTGTGTGTGTAGCTGTGTGTGTAGCTGTGTGTGTAGCTGTGTGTGTAGCTGTGTGTGTAGCTGTGTGTGTAGCTGTGTGTGTAGCTGTGTGTAGCTGTGTGTGTAGCTGTGTGTAGCTGTGTGTGTAGCTGTGTGTGTAGCTGTGTGTAGCTGTGTGTAGCTGTGTGTAGCTGTGTGTTGCTGTGTGTGTAGCTGTGTGTGTAGCTGTGTGTAGCTGTGTGTGTAGCTGTGTGTGTAGCTGTGTGTAGCTGTGTGTGTAGCTGTGTGTGTAGCTGTGTGTGTAGCTGTGTGTGTAGCTGTGTGTGTAGCTGTGTGTGTAGCTGTGTGTGTAGCTGTGTGTGTAGCTGTGTGTGTAGCTGGTGTGTGTAGCTGTGTGTGTAGCTGTGTGGTAGCTGTGTGTGTAGCTGTGTGTGTAGCAGTGTGTGTAGCTGTGTGTGTAGCAGTGTGTGTAGTAGTGTGTGTAGTAGTGTGTGTAGTAGTGTGTGTAGTAGTGTGTGTAGTAGTGTGTGTAGTAGTGTGTGTAGCAGTGTGTGTAGCAGTGTGTGTAGCTGTGTGTGTAGCTGTGTGTGTAGCTGTGTGTGTAGCTGTGTGTAGCTGTGTGTGTAGCTGTGTGTATAGCTGTGTGTGTAGCTGTGTGTGTAGCTGTGTGTGTAGCTGTGTGTGTAGCTGTGTGTGTAGCTGTGTGTGTAGCTGTGTGTGTAGCTGTGTGTGTAGCAGTGTGTGTAGCTGTGTGTGTAGCAGTGTGTGTAGCTGTGTGTGTAGCTGTGTGTGTAGCTGTGTGTGTAGCTGTGTGTGTAGCTGTGTGTAGCTGTGTGTGTAGCTGTGTGTGTAGCTGTGTGTGTAGCTGTGTGTGTAGCTGTGGTGTAGCTGTGTGTGTAGCAGTGTGTAGCTGTGTGTATAGCTGTGTGTGTAGCTGTGTGTGTAGCTGTGTGTGTAGCTGTGTGTGTAGCTGTGTGTGTAGCTGTGTGTGTAGCTGTGTGTGTAGCTGTGTGTGTAGCTGTGTGTGTAGCTGTGTGTGTAGCTGTGTGTAGCTGTGTGTGTAGCTGTGTGTGTAGCAGTGTGTGTAGCTGTGTGTGTAGCTGTGTGTGTAGCTGTGTGTGTAGCTGTGTGTGTAGCTGTGTGTGTAGCTGTGTGTGTAGCTGTGTGTGTAGCTGTGTGTGTAGCTGTGTGTAGCTGTGTGTGTAGCTGTGTGTAGCTGTGTGTGTAGCTGTGTGTGTAGCTGTGTGTGTAGCTGTGTGTAGCTGTGTGTGTAGCTGTGTGTGTAGCTGTGTGTAGCTGTGTGTAGCTGTGTGTGTAGCTGTGTGTGTAGCAGTGTGTGTAGCTGTGTGTAGCTGTGTGTGTAGCTGTGCGTGTAGCTGTGTGTGTAGCTGTGTGTGTAGCTGTGTGTGTAGCTGTGTGTGTAGCTGTGTGTGTAGCTGTGTGTGTAGCAGTGTGTGTAGCTGTGTGTGTAGCTGTGTGTGTAGCTGTGTGTGTAGCTGTGTGTGTAGCTGTGTGTGTAGCTGTGTGTGTAGCTGTGTGTGTAGCAGTGTGTGTAGCTGTGTGTGTAGCTGTGTGTAGCTGTGTGTGTAGCTGTGTGTGTAGCTGTGTGTAGCTGTGTGTATAGCTGTGTGTGTAGCTGTGTGTAGCTGTGTGTGTAGCTGTGTGTGTAGCTGTGTGTAGCTGTGTGTGTAGCTGTGTGTGTAGCTGTGTGTAGCTGTGTGTAGCAGTGTGTGTAGCAGTGTGTGTAGCTGTGTGTGTAGCTGTGTGTGTAGCTGTGTGTGTAGCTGTGTGTAGCTGTGTGTGTAGCTGTGTGTGTAGCTGTGTGTGTAGCTGTGTGTGTAGCTGTGTGTAGCTGTGTGTGTAGCTGTGTGTATAGCTGTGTGTGTAGCTGTGTGTAGCTGTGTGTGTAGCTGTGTGTAGCTGTGTGTAGCAGTGTGTGTAGCTGTGTGTGTAGCTGTGTGTAGCTGTGTGTAGCAGTGTGTGTAGCAGTGTGTGTAGCTGTGTGTGTAGCTGTGTGTGTAGCTGTGTGTGTAGCTGTGTATGTAGCTGTGTGTGTAGCTGTGTGTAGCTGTGTGTGTAGCTGTGCGTGTAGCTGTGTCTCACCTATCGTAGCAGTAGAGAAGTCCCGCCAGCCACCCAACAATACAGGTCGGCAACACAACCATCCAGGTCTTGGGTCGCAGCCTCAATCCTATCCAGCAGTCCTGAGTTTAATTAAATATCCATTATCAATCTCATCAACTCATTAGGTAATCGATTAATAAATCAACATTTTAGCTGGGAGGAAGATAGGGAGGAACATGTCACATCTCGTTACAATTTACATAAGATTAAATATAATAAATAAAAAATAATTGCCTTGGCGAAAGTGACAAAGCATTCAGCCAGAGAGAAAGCACTATCAATTCCCAACATTATGAGACATCCAAAGAAAATGATACCCCAAAACTGAGGAGCTTCAAGAGTTGCCAATCCTAAAAACCGTAAACATCAGTAAAATATACATTATTTATAAGTTGCAGATATTTGGTGAAATAACCATGTTATGCCCTAATAAGGTAATGCTGGTAAATAACCACGTGATGCCTAAATAAGGTAATGCTGGTTAATAACCACTTGATGCCTAAATAAGGTAATGATGGTTAATAACCACGTGATGCCTAAATAAGGTAATGATGGTTAATAACCACGTGATGCCTAAATAAGGTAATGCTGGTTAATAACCACGTGATGCCTAAATAAGGTAATGATGGTTAATAACCACGTGATGCCTAAATAAGGTAATGATGGTTAATAACCACGTGATGCCTAAATAAGGTAATGCTGGTTAATAACCACGTGATTCCCTAATAAGGTAATGACCACAAGTACTGTTAGATAACCTGAAGGGTAAGCGATGAAAGCTAGTCCCATAGAGGCTTGTTTGTAGTAGTTTTCAGCGCATACCCCTGTAGCCGAATCTTTTTCACATTTCTTCTGCATATATCCCAAAACCTCGTAGATGGCGAATCCTCCCAGCAGGGCAATACCAGTGTCACTGTTGAAGGTGTTACATAGGTGTTACATAGGTGTTACATATGTTAAATAGGTGTTTAAAATGTATTTTTATTTTACTCAATACTCATAGTTGTAAGATCATTTTGGGTGTCAACTTGATTGTGAACTAGATTAAGTGAGTAAATATTATATATTACCTGAGAGATATGGCCTTCTCGCTCATTGCAACGTTAGTTTTACTTTTGGAGTTGTGAGAACTATAGGCAGTCATCACGCCCATACACACACCCAATGAGAAAAATACCTAAAAAGGGGAACATTAAACATTAAAGAGGGAGCCTCAAACAAACAATCAGCAGGGAATAGGACGTTAAACAGTAAAAGAGAAGAAGGGAACGTTAAATAGTAGGAGAGAACGTTCAAATGGGGAAGGGAACATTTAACAGAAGGAGGGATTGTTTAACAGAAGGAGGGATTGTTTAACAGGAGGAGGGATTGTTTAACAGGAAGAGAGATTGTTTAACAGGAGGAGGGAACGTTCAAATGGGGAAGGGAACATTTAACAGAAGGAGGGATTGTTTAACAGAAGGAGGGATTGTTTAACAGAAGGAGGGATTGTTTAACAGGAGGAGGGATTATTTAACAGGAGAAGGGATTGTTTAACAGGAGGAGGGATTGTTTAACAGGAGGAGGGATTGTTTAACAGGAGGAGGGATTGTTTAACAGAGGAGGGATTGTTTAACAGGAGGAGGGATTGTTTAACAGGAGGAGGGATTGTTTAACAGGAGGAGGGATTATTTAACAGGAGGAGGGATTGTTTAACAGAGGAGGGATTGTTTAACAGGAGGAGGGATTGTTTAACAGGAGGAGGGATTGTTTAACAGGAGGAGGGATTATTTAACAGGAGGAGGGATTGTTTAACAGGAGGAGGGATTGTTTAACAGGAGGAGGGATTATTTAACAGGAGGAGGGATTGTTTAACAGGAGGAGGGATTGTTTAACAGGAGGAGGGATTGTTTAACAGAGGAGGGATTGTTTAACAGGAGGAGGGATTGTTTAACAGGAGGAGGGATTGTTTAACAGGAGGAGGGATTATTTAACAGGAGGAGGGATTGTTTAACAGAGGAGGGATTGTTTAACAGGAGGAGGGATTGTTTAACAGGAGGAGGGATTGTTTAACAGGAGGAGGGATTATTTAACAGGAGGAGGGATTGTTTAACAGGAGGAGGGATTGTTTAACAGGAGGAGGGATTATTTAACAGGAGGAGGGATTGTTTAACAGGAGGAGGGATTATTTAACAGGAGGAGGGATTGTTTAACAGAAAGAGAGATTGTTTAACAGGAGGAGAGATTGTTTAACAGGAGGAGGGATTGTTTAACAGGAGGAGGGATTGTTTAACAGAGGAGGGATTGTTTAACAGGAGGAGAGATTGTTTAACAGGAGGAGAGATTGTTTAACAGGAGGAGGGATTGTTTAACAGGAGGAGGGATTGTTTAACAGGAGGAGGGATTGTTTAACAGGAGGAGGGATTGTTTAACAGGAGGAGGGATTGTTTAACAGGAAGAGAGATTGTTTAACAGGAGGAGGGATTATTTAACAGGAGGAGGGAACGTTCAAATGGGGAAGGGAACGTTTAACAGGAGGAGGGTTGTTTAACAGGTTACAGGAGGAGGGATTGTTTAACAGGAGGAGGGATTGTTTAACAGGAAGAGAGATTGTTTAACAGGAGGAGGGATTATTTAACAGGAGGAGGGATTGTTTAACAGGAGGAGGGATTGTTTAACAGGAGGAGGGATTATTTAACAGGAGGAGGGATTGTTTAACAGGAGGAGGAATTGTTTAACAGGAGGAGGGATTGTTTAACAGGAGGAGGGATTATTTAACAGAAAGAGAGATTGTTTAACAGGAGGAGAGATTGTTTAACAGGAGGAGGAATTGTTTAACAGGAGGAGAGATTGTTTAACAGGAGGAGGGATTGTTTAACAGGAGAAGGGACTGTTAAACAGGAGGAGGGAACGTTTAACAGGAGAAGGGATTGTTTTACAGGAGGAGGGATTGTTTAACAGGAGGAGGGATTGTTTAACAGGAGGAGGGATTATTTAACAGGAGGAGGGAACGTTCAAATGGGGAAGGGAACGTTCAACAGGAGGAGGGATTGTTTAACAGGGAGAGATAACAGGGAGAGGCTGCAGAAAAGCTGGAGCGTTACACATTTCCAAGAAACTGTTAAGAAGGGATGTAAAGTTGTTGAATAATTAGGGAAACATCGGAATAGTAATAAGAGGGCATCATACCTGGCCGATAGCTTTAGTCCATATGACAGGGTCATTCAAAGTACTGCCGTCCCATTTGATCAGGTAAGCCTTAATACCATCCCCTGCTCCATCTAGGAATGCACCTGAAACAGAGACCTTTACTTCGGAGTGTAATTCAAGCAGGGAATCATATTTCATATTTTCTTCAAGTTGAAAGAATGCGATAAATTATAACCTTTGATAAAGCTTTCGCTGACGTTAAGGAAAGTAGAAATTGTCCAGCAAGGGTGTTAATTAGCCGCAATCCTCCCAAGATAAAATACGTTAGGATCTTAAGATTTTTTAGATATCATTGAGCATAAACAGTGATACAACGCATCTCGGGATGATCCGCAGAGTCTCGACTAGTTTCGGCTTACCGCCATCAACAGGATCGATGAATCATCTAGCGGGAAATTTGAAATCAATCATCAATAAACAACATTCCGAAAGTATAAAAGCAAAATTCAAAGGAAATGTCAGTAGGAAAATGTACGAAGTAGGTAATGTAAATAAGGTAACTACTGTGAAAGCATAGTTGTGGAACACAACAAGAAAATTGAGAATAATCTTGTGCGAGGGTAGGGACCCAGATGTCGTTTCTAACCCAAATAAACTTTAAGGAGGCTTCTCATCAGTAGCCGCACCTCCTTACTCGGTTTCTGAACTGGAATTCTATGGGCTTCCAGACGGCCAGACCGAGTATTACCACCCCATCCTTCTAGAGTTCATCACAAGTAGCACCCACCTTGAAGATCTTTGACACCCAGACACACCCCATTGGCGAACAAACTTTGGATATAATCTTACATGCTCCCGAAGGAATCCCTGGTTTATGGTCTTTCTCATCGTCACCAGCACTTTCACTAGAGTCACCAGCCCTTTCACTGGAGTCATCAGCCCAATCACTGAAGTATACAGAAGTATAGTTGTGGAACACAACAAGAAAATTGAGAATAATCTTGTGCGAGGGTAGGGACCCAGATGTCGTTTCTAACCCAAATAAACTTTAAGGAGGCTTCTCATCAGTAGCCGCACCTCCTTACTCGGTTTCTGAACTGGAATTCTATGGGCTTCCAGACGGCCAGACCGAGTATTACCACCCCATCCTTCTAGAGTTCATTACAAGTAGCACCCACCTTGAAGATCTTTGACACCCAGACACACCCCATTGGCGAACAAACTTTGGATATAATCTTACATGCTCCCGAAGGAATCCCTGGTTTATGGTCTGGGCCAAAACGACTACAAAACGTACAGAGTAAGGTTTTTTTAAAAATATTTTTTTACATATGTCCCAGACCCATAGCTAGATCTATGAATTGTTTTGGCCCACTCCATGATTTCACAGTAGTTACCTTATTTACATTACCTACTTCGTACATTTTCCTACTGATATTTCCTTTGAATTTTGCTTTTATACTTTCGGAATGTTGTTTATTGATAATTGATTTCAAATTTCCCGCTAGATGATTCATCGATCCTGTTGATGGCGGTAAGCCGAAACTAGTCGAGACTCTGCGGATCATCCCGAGATACGTTGTATCACTGCTTATGCTCAATGATATCTAAAAAAAAATTAATTATAACCTAATATATATAACAGCATAATAAGAGAGTAACTAATAAAAACCTCTGATGATGAGAATGAGCAGTATGAGCAGAGGAAGGGGAACTGTGAACTTTACAACCCAGCTCGTACTCTTAACTCCCTTGAAGATGCTCAGGAAGATCAGTATCCACACCACCGTGATGCCAACAAACACTTTCCAGTTGAAAGTACCGAGCCAGTCGAACTCAGTCGATGGGTCTGCTAGCTTTCTAGCTGAGTAGTTAGTTGTGTTAAATGTGTTAGTTGTGTTAGTTATTTTAGTTGTGTTAGTTATTTTAGTTATTTTAGTTGTGTTAGTTATTTTAGTTGTGTTAGTCGTGTTAGTTATTTTAGTTGTGTTAGTCGTGTTAGTTATTTTAGTTGTGTTAGTCGTGTTAGTTATTTTAGTTATTTTAGTTGTGTTAGTTGTGTTAAATGTGTTAGTTATTTAAGTTGTGTTAGTTATTTTAGTTGTGTTAGTTATTTTAGTTGTGTTAGTTGTGTTAGTTATTTTAGTTGTGTTAGTCGTGTTGATTATTTTAGTTGTGTTAGTCGTGTTAGTTATTTTAGTTGTGTTAGTCGTGTTAGTTATTTTAGTTGTGTTAGTCGTGTTGATTATTTTAGTTGTGTTAGTTGTGTTGGTTCCATGCTAATTATATCAGTTGTTATAATGAAAGGTAACTGTTACAATTGTATTAGAAATTAGAAAGTATACAGAAAGTCACATGTAAATTCCACCTCACGAAATAAGACACCCTACATATTATATATTTATATACATTACTAAGATAAGCACTCATGTACATTTCGCTTTGTCGTCTCGTTTTCATTCTATACTTTATGGGGAGGGGGGGGGGGGGGGGGGGGGGGTTCCAACAGGGGGGGTTCCAACATGATTACTTGCTTAGTTAACTTATTAATCAATTTATTTACTCACCTGCCATACCAGCTGTCATGGAAATATCGTCGAAATGAGCTGCTTGATTGTCGTACCAAGGTATTGCGTCGGTTTTGTGGAAGCACTCCACAAAGTAAATACAAGCATACCCCAGGATAATACAGTAGTAGAAAGTAATGGTGTAGCCTGCAAACACACTCGCCAGTCCTATACCCCTGAGAGATAGTGAACTTTACTCGCTAACAGTTAAACAAACAAACACACTCGCAGTCCTATACCCCTAAGAGACAGTGTTTTGTTTCTTACCTGAGTCTGGGGTTCATGGAACCGAACGCGTCAGCATCTCCGGCCTGGTAGAAGGTTCCAATACTCAGCTCCATTCCGAGGATAGGCATTCCCACGAATATCAAGATGAAGAAGTAGGGAATGAGGAATGGAGCGCCTCCGTACCTGTGTAGCAGTTTAGTTCATGTTTATTTATCACATCATGATGAGAATTTATACATTCTAAAAGATTCTATTCTTACAAACGGATATCCCACAACATTTGCCCCTGCCCCTGCCCCTCCTCTTCCCTCCTCTTCCATCCTCCTCTTCCCTGCTCTTCCCTCCTCTTCCCTCCTCTTCCCTCCTCTTCCCTCCTCTTCCCTCCTCTTCCCTTCTCTTCCCTCCTCTTCCCTCCTCTTCCCTGCTCTTCCCTGCTCTTCCCTGCTCTTCCCTCCTCTTCCCTTCTCTTCCCTTCTCTTCCCTCCTCTTCCCTCCTCTTCCCTGCTCTTCCCTCCTCTTCCCTCCTCTTCCCTCCTCTTCCCTCCTCTTCCCTGCTCTTCCCTGCTCTTCCCTCCTCTTCCCTTCTCTTCCCTGCTCTTCCCTCCTCTTCCCTTCTCTTCCCTCCTCTTCCCTCCCTTTCCCTCCTCTTCCCTCCTCTTCCCTCCTCTTCCCTCCTCTTCCCTCCTCTTCCCTCCTCTTCCCTTCTCTTCCCTCCTCTTCCCTCCTCTTCCCTCCTCTTCCCTTCTCTTCCCTCCTCTTCCCTCCTCTTCCCTGCTCTTCCCTGCTCTTCCCTGCTCTTCCCTCCTCTTCCCTTCTCTTCCCTCCTCTTCCCTTCTCTTCCCTCCTCTTCCCTCCTCTTCCCTCCTCTTCCCTCCTCTTCCCTGCTCTTCCCTGCTCTTCCCTGCTCTTCCCTCCTCTTCCCTTCTCTTCCCTCCTCTTCCCTCCCTTTCCCTCCTCTTCCCTCCTCTTCCCTCCTCTTCCCTCCTCTTCCCTCCTCTTCCCTCCTCTTCCCTTCTCTTCCCTCCTCTTCCCTCCTCTTCCCTCCTCTTCCCTCCTCTTCCCTCCTCTTCCCTCCTCTTCCCTCCTCTTCCCTCCTCTTCCCTTCTCTTCCCTCCTCTTCCCTCCTCTTCCCTCCTCTTCCCTCCTCTTCCCTCCTCTTCCCTCCTCTTCCCTCCTCTTCCCTCCTCTTCCCTCCTCTTCCCTCCTCTTCCCTTCTCTTCCCTCCTCTTCCCTCCTCTTCCCTGCTCTTCCCTGCTCTTCCCTGCTCTTCCCTCCTCTTCCCTTCTCTTCCCTCCTCTTCCCTCCTCTTCCCTGCTCTTCCCTCCTCTTCCCTCCTCTTCCCTCCTCTTCCCTCCTCTTCCCTGCTCTTCCCTGCTCTTCCCTGCTCTTCCTCCTCTTCCCTTCTCTTCCCTCCTCTTCCCTCCCTTTCCCTCCTCTTCCCTCCTCTTCCCTCCTCTTCCCTCCTCTTCCCTCCTCTTCCCTCCTCTTCCCTTCTCTTCCCTCCTCTTCCCTCCTCTTCCCTCCTCTTCCCTCCTCTTCCCTCCTCTTCCCTCCTCTTCCCTCCTCTTCCCTCCTCTTCCCTCCTCTTCCCTCCTCTTCCCTTCTCTTCCCTCCTCTTCCCTCCTCTTCCCTCCTCTTCCCTCCTCTTCCCTCCTCTTCCCTCCTCTTCCCTCCTCTTCCCTCCTCTTCCCTCCTCTTCCCTCCTCTTCCCTCCTCTTCCCTCCTCTTCCCTCCTCTTCCCCACACCAATACTCACTGAGACACCAAGTTAGGGAACCTCCAGACGTTTCCCAGACCTACAGCAGAACCTACTGCAGCTAGAATGAAGGAGATTGGGTGATCCCATTCCTTCCTCCCTTTCTCACGATCCTGTTGGATCTTGGACTCTATGTCAACATCGCCCATCTTTACGGGCTCGTATCTATTAATGTATCTAGTTTAAGCTTAAGGTTATGTGTCAACATCGCCCATCTTTACGGGCTCGTATCTATTAATGTATCTAGTTTAAGCTTAAGGTTATATGTCAACATCGCCCATCTTTACGGGCTCGTATCTATTAATGTATCTAGTTTAAGCTTAAGGTTATGTGTCAACATCGCCCATCTTTACGGGCTCGTATCTATTAATGTATCTAGTTTAAGCTTAAGGTTATATGTCAACATCGCCCATCTTTACGGGCTCGTATCTATTAATGTATCTAGTTTAAGCTTAAGGTTATGTGTCAACATCGCCCATCTTTACGGGCTCGTATCTATTAATGTATCTAGTTTAAGCTTAAGGTTATGTGTCAACATCGCCCATCTTTACGGGCTCGTATCTATTAATGTATCTAGTTTAAGCTTAAGGTTATATGTCAACATCGCCCATCTTTACGGGCTCGTATCTATTAATGTATCTAGTTTAAGCTTAAGGTTATGTGTCAACATCGCCCATCTTTACGGGCTCGTATCTATTAATGTATCTAGTTTAAGCTTAAGGTTATGTGTCAACATCGCCCATCTTTACGGGCTCGTATCTATTAATGTATCTAGTTTAAGCTTAAGGTTATGTGTCAACATCGCCCATCTTTACGGGCTCGTATCTATTAATGTATCTAGTTTAAGCTTAAGGTTATATGTCAACATCGCCCATCTTTACGGGCTCGTATCTATTAATGTATCTAGTTTAAGTTATTTGTCGTTAACTGATTGGTTACTTTTGAGTTACTAAAAGGTTACTAAAAGGTTACTAAAAGGTTACTAAAAGGTTACTAAAAGGTTACTAAAAGGTTACTAAAAGGTTACTAAAAGGTTACTAAAAGGTTACTAAAAGGTTACTAAAAGGTTACTAAAAGGTTACTAAAAGGTTACTAAAAGGTTACTAAAAGGTTACTAAAAGGTTACTAAAAGGTTACTAAAAGGTTACTAAAAGTTACTAAAAGGTTACTAAAAGGTTACTAAAAGGTTACTAAAAGGTTACTAAAAGGTTACTAAAAGGTTACTAAAAGGTTACTAAAAGGTTACTAAAAGGTTACTAAAAGCTTAGTAATAGACAACTTTTTTGAACTTTGTGTGATTAACAATTATAAAACAGGGACTATGTTTTAAAGGATGATAATGACGCTGCAAACCAGGTTTCTAGCCAGGTTGCTAGCACTTGTCATTCTTTCTGTGCTGTATAGCAAGGGAACAACGCAAACCTTCACCATTGACTACCAGGTAATTCTATTCAAATTATATATCACCTCGGTTTAACGTGTTTTTAATGATGCAAAGATATTAGATTAGTTGGAGATCGAACTTGAACTTTGTGGAGTAAATCTTGCGATTCACCGGGTGACACAAACTAAACAATCAGAACACAGTATTCACACCACGTGACACAAACTAAACAATATCCACACCACGTGACAGAAACCAACCAATCAGAACACAGTATTCACACCACGTGACACAAACCAACCAATCAGAACACAGTATTCACACCACGTGACACAAACTAAACAATCAGAACACAGTATTCACACCACGTGACACAAACCAAACAATCAAAACACAGTATTCACACCACTAATACGAGATGCCCCCAGAGAGATTGCTACGCTAAGGATGGCGAGTGTTACCGTTACATTGCGGGGGAAATGCATTACTTCCGAATCCCAGCCCACTATTGGGAGGACAGGCTCTTGAAACTCCGTGCTGCTGGATTCACTACTGTTCAAACGTGAGTATCAATTATCAAGTAGTAACACAAACAGGCTACTCACACCAAGTCACACAAACATGCTACTCACACCAAGTCACACAAACAGGCTACTCACATCAAGTCACACAAACAGGCTACTCACATCAAGTCACACAAACAGGCTACTCACACCAAGTCACACAAACATGCTACTCACACCAAGTCACACAAACAGGCTACTCACATCAAGTCACACAAACAGGCTACTCACACCAAGTCACACAAACAGGCTACTCACATCAAGTCACACAAACATGCTACTCACATCAAGTCACACAAACAGGCTACTCACATCAAGTCACACAAACAGGCTACTCACACCAAGTCACACAAACAGGCTACTCACATCAAGTCACACAAACAGGCTACTCACATCAAGTCACACAAACAGGCTACTCACATCAAGTCACACAAACAGGCTACTCACATCAAGTCACACAAACAGGCTACTCACATCAAGTCACACAAACAGGCTACTCACACCAAGTCACACAAACATGCTACTCACACCAAGTCACACAAACAGGCTACTCACATCAAGTCACACAAACAGGCTACTCACACCGAGTCACACAAACAAGCTACTCACATCAAGTCACACAAACAGGCTACTCACACCAAGTCACACAAACAGGCTACTCACACCGAGTCACACAAACAGGCTTCTCACATCAAGTCACACAAACAGGCTACTCAGACACATCAAGTCACACAAACAGGCTTCTCACATCAAGTCACACAAACATGCTACTCACACCAAGTCACACAAACAGGCTACTCACACCAAGTCACACAAACAGGCTACTCACACCAAGTCACACAAACAGGCTACTCACACCGAGTCACACAAACAAGCTACTCACATCAAGTCACACAAACAGGCTACTCACATCAAGTCACACAAACAGGCTACTCACAGCAAGTCACACAAACAGGCTACTCACACCAAGTCACACAAACAGGCTACTCACATCAAGTCACACAAACAGGCTACTCACATCAAGTCACACAAACAGGCTACTCACATCAAGTCACACAAACAGGCTACTCACACCAAGTCACACAAACAGGCTACTCACATCAAGTCACACAAACAGGCTACTCATACCAAGTCACACAAACAAGCTACTCACATCAAGTCACACAAACAAGCTACTCACATCAAGTCACACAAACAGGCTACTCACATCAAGTCACACAAACAGGCTACTCACACCAAGTCACACAAACAGGCTACTCACACCAAGTCACACAAACAGGCTTCTCACATCAAGTCACACAAACAGGCTACTCACATCAAGTCACACAAACAGGCTACTCACACCGAGTCACACAAACAGGCTACTCACACCAAGTCACAAAAACAAGCTACTCACATCAAGTCACACAAACAGGCTACTCATACCAAATCACACAAACAAGCTACTCACACCAAGTCACACAAACAGGCTACTCACATCAATTCACACAAACAAGCTACTCACATCAAGTCACACAAACAGGCTACTCACACCAAGTCACACAAACATGCTACTCACACCAAGTCACACAAACAGGCTTCTCACATCAAGTAACACAAACAGGCTACTTACTCAAGGTTACTAAAATATCAATAGCTACGGCTATTATTAATTATACAGTTTACCTAATCAGCCACAGCATCTTATCTTATATCAGGTTCAAGATTGTGAGTGTAGAAATTACATCGTGTTGGATGGAATGTTAACAGTGGGAAATGTAACAAGTGTGTGGGAAATGGAACAAGTATGTGGGAAATGTAATAAGTATTTGGGAAATGTAAAAAGTGTGTGGGAAATGTAAAAAGTGTGTGGGAAATTTAACAAGTATGTGGGAAATGTAACAAGTGTGTGGGAAATGTAACAAGTATGTGGGAAATGTAAAAAGTGTGTGGGAAATGTAACAAGTGTGTGGGAAATGTAACAAGTGTGTGGGAAATGTAACAAGTGTGTGGGAAATGTAATAAGTATTTGGGAAATGTAAAAAGTGTGTGGGAAATGTAAAAAGTGTGTGGGAAATTTAACAAGTATGTGGGAAATTTAACAAGTGTGTGGGAAATGTAACAAGTGTGTGGGAAATGTAACAAGTATGTGGGAAATGGAACAAGTGTGCGGGAAATGTAAAAAGTGTGCGGGAAATGTAAAAAGTGTGTGGGAAATGTAACAAGTATGTGGGAAATGGAACAAGTGTGCGGGAAATGTAAAAAGTGTGTGGGAAATGTAACAAGTATGTGGGAAATGTAACAAGTATGTGGGAAATTTAACAAGTGTGTGGGAAATGTAACAAGTGTGTGGGAAATTTAACAAGTGTGTGGGAAATGTAACAAGTGTGTGGGAAATTTAATAAGTATGTGGGAAATTTAACAAGTGTGTGGGAAATTTAACAAGTGTGTGGGAATTGTAACAAGTGTGTGGGAAATTTAATAAGTATGTGGGAAATTTAACAAGTGTGTGGGAAATTTAACAAGTGTGTGGGAAATGTAACAAGTATGTGGGAAATGTAACAAGTGTGTGGGAAATGTAACAAGTATGTGGGAAATGTAACAAGTGTGTGGGAAATGTAACAAGTGTGTGGGAAATGTAACAAGTGTGCGGGAAATGTAACAAGTGTGTGGGAAATGTAACAAGTATGTGGGAAATTTAACAAGTGTGTGGGAAATGTAACAAGTGTGTGGGAAATTTAATAAGTATGTGGGAAATTTAACAAGTGTGTGGGAAATTTAACAAGTGTGTGGGAAATGTAACAAGTATGTGGGAAATGTAACAAGTGTGTGGGAAATGTAACAAGTGTGTGGGAAATGTAACAAGTGTGTGGGAAATGTAACAAGTGTGTGGGAAATGTAAAAAGTGTGTGGGAAATGTAACAAGTGTGTGGGAAATGTAACAAGTGTATGGGAAATGTACCAAGTATGTGGGAAATTTAACAAGCGTGTGTGAAATGTAGTGGTGTCATTAAACAGGCAGATGCTTTATAACTCGGCCATTTTTAATTTTAGTGCAATCGACGAAATTTGGTATACGGGAGTTCGGGATGTAAGTTTACTGTTATGTGTTCCTACTTTGAATTTACTTTTGGTTCTTTACTTTGAGAAGGATCAAACAAAGAGAAACGAGGATAACAACGTTAGAACAAAAGGGGTATATTAGGGAATAGTAACAACACGTATAAACAAGACCGACTGAAGGGAAATGTGAATGGGATAGGGAATAGGGATAACTTTGTGAAGGGGTAACTTTACTCCAAAACTCTTACTATCTATATGGGCTGATTGCTTACGGAGCAAGACTATAACGGTGCATCTCAAATATCTATCAGTGCGTGACGTTGCCTAATTAATCTTAAAAAAGGTTTAACTAATGAGCCAAATAATTGCTTGAGATTGACATAAAAACGGTTTGACCTTGCATTAGAACAAAACACCATTAACTTTAAACCAAACAATAACTGGGATCCCTAGGGAGAGTGGAGACCAGGAGACCACTAGCTTATAAGCTCATAGAAGTAGAGCACCCAAAATCTAGGTGTATACGCTACTTCATAGGTACTTCAGTAATACAGTGCATATAAACCTCACTTTTAACTGGGAGTAATGATCTTCTTCCGGGATAAATAAGTCACTAGGTTCCTTACTGTGTAGTGTGCACTCACTGTACTGAGAAGGACGTATTCAAAGAAGGAGAATCCTAGCCGAGATCGCTTTTAAGAAGTTTAAAAAGGTGTGGTTGTCCGGTAAGAAAAGGTTATATGATGAACAAGTTGTATCTGTATTGATTTATAACTCAAACAGTTGGAGTCCTAAGAAAGCAACCATGGAGAATATAGACACACCTCATCGTAGACACCTGAAGTCCATTTTAAACATCAAATGGCCTAAAGGTATGATAAGCAACAAAGCATTGTATGAAATGTGCAAAGTTGAAAAGTTATCCAAGCGTATCGGTTTGGACACATTCTCAGGACTATGGAGAACACCCCAGCCCAAACGGCTCTCTCTTTTGCTATTGAATCAGATAATTTATTAATTGGAAGATTGGGGAGACCTAGAATGAACTTGTTATCTGCTTTAAGAAATTATTAATGATTTAAGTAGTACAAATTTGCACATAGATAACTTGCATGAATTAAACAAAATCAAAGATATAGCTGCATGCAACAGATGTTGGGAAAATCTGTTTCAAGGGTACAGTTTACCGCATTAAGGTATTTTTATGAATCATTTTTGTCGGTAAGATCCTGTTTTATAATAATAATAAGAATATTATTATAATAATAATATTTATCCCGGAAATTATTATAGGAGTCACGTGTATCGGAGAATAGAAAATATAACTAATCTGCTTATGTTCGCTTAGTAATGGCATTATGCATTATGCAGAGCAAGGATAACTTCATTACCTGCGCGGGTTCTGGAGAATTTTCAATTTAATTTTGTGCATATTTTTCCATTTTATTCCCAAGGCCATATTTCAATTTATAATAATATTTACATTCTACGGTAGTTATGTGTGTTATAATATGCATTGTTTCTGAGAAATGACATTCAATACAAACAACATCTACGTTTACAATTTGCACGTGCGCCTATTTCAGGTACATACCGTGGAACGTGCACGTGCCTGCGGAAGACACATACAGTTTTGAGGGAATAGCAAACGTGTACAGTTACCTGGAGACAGCATGGTCACTAGGGCTCACAGTGATAGTGCGACCTGGCCCCTTTCTGGCAACGGAGTGGGACTACGGGGGCTTCCCTGCTTGGTTACTAAAAGATAGGCCTACTTTAGAGTGAGTCATATTATCTACTAACATAGATATTATGTTTTCTGGAACCAGTGGCGTAACATTGCCTGGCGCCCCCCCCCCCCCCCCGAAAAAGCGCCCCCCTGTTGGCGTCCCCTCCCCTTTTGGCGCCCCTCCCTAAAATTGAACAAATTATGTGATTTTAGAGGATACGCCGGTAAAATCTCTAAAAAAGTGTATTTCTAGAGCAAAACACGCAGTTTTGCTAGTACCTCAGTTAAGTTTTTCAAATTGTCCCACATTCAAAAGACGATTTGGTGCACCCCTAAAGCCCTAAGATGGCGGCAATCTGCTACATATAATATATATATATTAATAATAATATATATTATATTAATATATAATGTATGTAGAGATGTATCTTTTTGGAAAGTTGCCAAAAAGTTTTGCATGTTTCTGCAGCTAAATTATTTCAGTGTACGACGGAACGAGACAATGTTTATGAAGGAGGTGAAAAAGTGGTATTCCAAACTCCTCCCCACACTGAAACCCTACTTGTACAGTAGCGGGGGTCCTATTATTGCAGTTCAGGTACTTTGTTTACTGAAACCCTACTTGTACAGTAGTGGGGGTCCTATTATTGCAGTTCAGGTACTTTGTTTACTGAAACCCTACTTGTACAGTAGCGGGGGTCCTATTATTGCAGTTCAGGTACTTTGTTTACTGAAACCCTACTTGTACAGTAGCGGGGGTCCTATTATTGCAGTTCAGGTACTTTGTTTACTGAAACCCTACTTGTACAGTAGTGGGGGTCCTATTATTGCAGTTCAGGTACTTTGTTTACTGAAACCCTACTTGTACAGTAGCGGGGGTCCTATTATTGCAGTTCAGGTACTTTGTTTACTGAAACCCTACTTGTACAGTAGCGGGGGGTCCTATTATTGCAGTTCAGGTACTTTGTTTACTGAAACCCTACTTGTACAGTAGCGGGGGTCCTATTATTGCAGTTCAGGTACTTTGTTTACTGAAACCCTACTTGTACAGTAGCGGGGGTCCTATTATTGCAGTTCAGGTACTTTGTTTACTGAAACCCAACTTGTACAGTAGCGGGGGTCCTATTATTGCAGTTCAGGTACTTTGTTTACTGAAACCCTACTTGTACAGTAGTGGGGGTCCTATTATTGCAGTTCAGGTACTTTGTTTACTGAAACCCAACTTGTACAGTAGCGGGGGTCCTATTATTGCAGTTCAGGTACTTTGTTTACTGAAACCCTACTTGTACAGTAGCGGGGGTCCTATTATTGCAGTTCAGGTACTTTGTTTACTGAAACCCTACTTGTACAGTAGTGGGGGTCCTATTATTGCAGTTCAGGTACTTTGTTTACTGAAACCCTACTTGTACAGTAGTGGGGGTCCTATTATTGCAGTTCAGGTACTTTGTTTATTGAAACCCTACTTGTACAGTAGCAGGGGTCCTATTATTGCAGTTCAGGTACTTTGTTTACTGAAACCCAACTTGTACAGTATAGTGGGGGTCCTATTATTGCAGTTCAGGTACTTTGTTTACTGAAACCCAACTTGTACAGTAGCGGGGGTCCTATTATTGCAGTTCAGGTACTTTGTTTACTGAAACCCTACTTGTACAGTAGCGGGGGGTCCTATTATTGCAGTTCAGGTACTTTGTTTACTGAAACCCTACTTGTACAGTAGTGGGGGTCCTATTATTGCAGTTCAGGTACTTTGTTTACTGAAACCCTACTTGTACAGTAGCGGGGGTCCTATTATTGCAGTTCAGGTACTTTGTTTACTGAAACCCAACTTGTACAGTATAGTGGGGGTCCTATTATTGCAGTTCAGGTACTTTGTTTACTGAAACCCAACTTGTACAGTATAGTGGGGGTCCTATTATTGCAGTTCAGGTACTTTGTTTACTGAAACCCAACTTGTACAGTAGCGGGGGTCCTATTATTGCAGTTCAGGTACTTTGTTTACTGAAACCCTACTTGTACAGTAGTGGGGGTCCTATTATTGCAGTTCAGGTACTTTGTTTACTGAAACCCTACTTGTACAGTAGTGGGGGTCCTATTATTGCAGTTCAGGTACTTTGTTTACTGAAACCCAACTTGTACAGTAGCGGGGGTCCTATTATTGCAGTTCAGGTACTTTGTTTACTGAAACCCAACTTGTACAGTAGCGGGGGTCCTATTATTGCAGTTCAGGTACTTTGTTTACTGAAACCCAACTTGTACAGTATAGTGGGGTCCTATTATTGCAGTTCAGGTACTTTGTTTACTGAAACCCAACTTGTACAGTAGTGGGGGTCCTATTATTGCAGTTCAGGTACTTTGTTTACTGAAACCCTACTTGTACAGTAGCGGGGGTCCTATTATTGCAGTTCAGGTACTTTGTTTACTGAAACCCTACTTGTACAGTAGTGGGGGTCCTATTATTGCAGTTCAGGTACTTTGTTTATTGAAACCCTACTTGTACAGTAGCGGGGGTCCTATTATTGCAGTTCAGGTACTTTGTTTACTGAAACCCTACTTGTACAGTAGTGGGGGTCCTATTATTGCAGTTCAGGTACTTTGTTTACTGAAACCCTACTTGTACAGTAGCGGGGGTCCTATTATTGCAGTTCAGGTACTTTGTTTACTGAAACCCAACTTGTACAGTAGTGGGGGTCCTATTATTGCAGTTCAGGTACTTTGTTTACTGAAACCCTACTTGTACAGTAGCGGGGGTCCTATTATTGCAGTTCAGGTACTTTGTTTACTGAAACCCAACTTGTACAGTAGTGGGGGTCCTATTATTGCAGTTCAGGTACTTTGTTTACTGAAACCCTACTTGTACAGTAGCGGGGGGTCCTATTATTGCAGTTCAGGCACTTTGTTTACTGAAACCCAACTTGTACAGTAGAAGGGGTCCTATTATTGCAGTTCAGGTACTTTGTTTACTTAACTGAAACCCTACTTGTACAGTATAGTCATATAGTGGGGGTCCTATTATTGCAGTTCAGGTACTTTGTTTACTGAAACCCAACTTGTACAGTAGCGGGGGTCCTATTATTGCAGTTCAGGTACTTTGTTTACTGAAACCCAACTTGTACAGTAGTGGGGGTCCTATTATTGCAGTTCAGGTACTTTGTTTACTGAAACCCTACTTGTACAGTAGCGGGGGTCCTATTATTGCAGTTCAGGTACTTTGTTTACTGAAACCCAACTTGTACAGTAGTGGGGGTCCTATTATTGCAGTTCAGGTACTTTGTTTACTGAAACCCAACTTGTACAGTAGTGGGGGTCCTATTATTGCAGTTCAGGCACTTTGTTTACTGAAACCCAACTTGTACAGTAGAAGGGGTCCTATTATTGCAGTTCAGGTACTTTGTTTACTTAACTGAAACCCTACTTGTACAGTATAGTCATATAGTGGGGGTCCTATTATTGCAGTTCAGGCACACGGGTCACGGGTGCTAAATATCAAATACAGGTGCTAAATATCAAATAAATAATCATATAGTGAAGAAAAATGTGATAAGTGATAATGCAGCGACTTTCAATAGCATCCAGTGGCCACCGATATCATCGATATCAGTGGCCACTGGACAAAAGAGGGTGAATCTTGGCAAATGAGTAAGTGTAACTCGTCAAGCAGGAACATAATCCCTCAACAGATTGAAATTGAGGCACTTTATTCACGATTAGATATATTTAATTCCAGTTATAGTTAGATGATATTATAGTTTGCAGGAATTTTAGCTTTTACACACATAACAATGTTGGAATGTTGTTTCAATATTGGACATTATACTCACGACCATCTCAACTAACCCTAATCTTCCTCCCATTTAATTGCAAACTTTTCTATGAGGATAATTCTATAAGTTTATAACTTGAATTGTTAGGAAGCTCAGTGTAAGACATTAATCTTGTAAGTTATTAGTTGTGTTTAACTCAACAATCTCGTAATATTACGCGTAATTTATCCTGAGAGTGCCTTAAAAGCTACAAATATGATGAATTGTTCAGCCTAATTGCGGTGTTTTTTGTCTCCAAATTTGCCGCACTTTAAAAAAAATAAGGCAAGAGCGAAATCGCACTATTTGCAAAATATTACCGCAGTGCAACCATGGTCAGCACATGAATTACAAGTGGCTAAAACGAATAGAAGATAATATGTAATAGGAGGTAAAAAGACATAGCTGTAAGTTATTTTGCAATGAAATACTATCAAACTTGAATATTTAGATTTGCAGTGAGACTAATGTAGAAAACCTAATCCCTATTACCTTAGTTAATTATGCCCTGTAGTTGTTAACATGGCGTGAATTTCTCTATATATCAGGTGATTTCTCTTTACCAGACCCAAAATGACGTGTCGGGATTATTAATACGGTAATACAGGTAATAAAGATAATAAAGATAATATGTTTAGATCCCAAAGTGGTGTAAAAAACGCAAAATAAATTAATGTGATTTTTGATTTAACAAACATTTAACGTGCGGCGGATAAATAAACTAGCAGTAGTATACTGTAGTATATACAGTATACACTATACAGTATATGCGCTTAGTCAATAAAGGCACCGTGATTGTTATAAAAAGGAGATGATGAAGCAAGTATTCAGGAACATATGCATGACACAAAGAAGAATGGTCGGTGGGCATTGGGACATAAATATTATATGTGTATATATACACTATAAAGTCAGTATTTAAGAATTTGTACAACAACTTTTCATTTATTGACCCAATTGTAGGCGACGAAAATAATTATCGAATTATTTTTCTTATAAGTTTAACAAATAGCTTTTAGTTATACATGATAAATCTCATGATGCAAATTCAGCAGGAGAAATTATAAAACAAGCTACAAATTTATAGAGTACGGAAGTAGGTCCACTGCGTAACTCAAAGCAAAACAACAAAGCTTCACCAATAGTAAACTTGTTGCAGTGTAGTGTTCTAAACTTCTAAAGAAGTAGGCACACAGCTCCACTGTCTAAACATTGGTGTATTGTTTAGATTATTCGACATATAGAGCCTGTTAGTGTTATATTAGTGATTAGAGTTATTTATTGTTTACATAATCCGTCACACCATGTCTAAATAAATAAGCAATCAGGTCTAACTGACGTGATTAGTAACTGAATCAGTACAAACAAGGGTAATCCCAAACTAACCAGTAACTAAACCTCGTAGTCAGGGGTGTAGGAAGAGGGGGGGGGGGGTGAACAGAGGGGGAGGGCGTAGTCCCTGATAACCATATGATATACCCATCGATAGTCTATAACACAAATCACCTATTATAACCACAGTATATACAGAAGTTAGCGCGAAAATCATTCTTGCAGAATGAGTACACCTATTCTCCTCCTCAATCTTATTTTACTACCTAACCACACTGATAACAGGAAAATATGGCAGGTTGGGAAGGAGTACCGTTATCCAGATTTTGTGATAATGCGCAGTAAACTGGAATAATGCAGGTTGCAGAATGAGTATACGGGAGTAAACCAGGAATATTGCAGCTGAAGAACTGCTACACACGCACGAACTACACGGGCGACTAACAAACAGGAATATTATGCACGCGTATGACAGAAAGAGTACGGGAGTAACAGTAATATATTGCAGGTATAGAGAATTGAGTTACTAGGAGTAACCATATAAACTAGAATATTGCAGTTGTTGCAGATGAGACATAACGGAGTCAACATAGAATAGTGCAGGTAGTAGAATGAGCTACAGGAGTAACAGGCCGATTTGCAAAGGTTGAGAAATGAGTACGGGAGTAACCGGAATAATTTGCAAAATTTGCCAGGATTGGGAATACGTACGGAGCGAGAAATCGGAGGAAAATAGCAGCGCTAGAGAATGACTACAGGAGTAACCAGGCATATTGCAGGTTTGAGAATGAGTATCTGGAGTACAGGAAATAATTGTCAGGTTGGAGTGATTATGATACGCGAGTAACAGGAATCATTGCAGTTTGACGAAGGAGTACTGATCCTTTCGGAAGTAACCACAGGCATATATTGCCAGGCTTTGATGAGAATATTGAGTAAGTACTGTCCGACCTAGTAACAGAATATTGCTATGGCTGCAGAATGAGTAGTGGGATTAAAACAGAAATTGCACGGTTGAGAATAGTACAGAGGAGCTAACAGGAAATATTGACAAGGTTTGACGCAATGAGTCATACGTACGCGCGTACACCCAGAATTTCGCAGGTGAAATAGAGTCGACCAACCGAAGAGTACGTCGAGTAACTCTCAGGAATAATACTTTGCAGGTTGAGACATGATTACCGTACTAACTGCGAGTTAACTAGGATATATTGCACCGGTGTAAGAAATGAAGTACAGGAGTAACAGGAAAAAAAGATGGTAGTTGAAATGAGTACCGGGAGTAACAGGAATATTGCAGTTGAGAATGAGGTTCGGAGTAACAGGAAGATTGCGGTTTGGGAAAGAGTCGGGGGAACAGAATATTGCAGGGGAGAATGATACGGAGTAACAAAAATTGCAGGTTTAAAGAGTAGGGGGTAAAGAATATTGCAGGTTGAGAATGATAGGGGGTAACAGGAATATTCAGTTGAGAAGGGTAGGAAAACAGAATATTGCAGGTTGGGAAAGAGTACGGAGTAACAAGAAATGCAGGGAATGAGTAAGTAAACAGGGAAAATTTCAGGGAAATGAGTACGGAGTAACAGAAATTGCAGGTTTTAGAATGAAGGAGTAACAGGGAAAATTGCAGGGTTTAGAATGGTACGGGAACGAATATGCAGGTTAGAAAAGATACGGGGGGTAACGGGAAATTTTCAGGGAAAAAGAAGGGGGGTAACAGGAATATTGCAGGTTGAGAATGGGTAGGGAACAGAATATGCAAAGGGTTTAAAGAGTTCGGAGTAACAAAATTGCAGGGGAGAAAAGTAGGGAGTAACAGGAAAATTTCAGGTTGGAAAGGACGGGGGAAAAAAGAATATTTAGTTGAAATGAGTAGGGGTAACAGGGAAAATGCAGGAGAAATGGCGGAGTAACAGGAAATGCAGGTTGGAATGATACGGAGTAAAAGAAAATTGCGGTTTAGAATGGAGGGGGGTAAAAGGAAAATTGCAGGTTAGAATGAGTACGGGGGGGAACAGGGAAAATGCAGGGTTTAGAATGAGGAGGGGAAACAAATATTTCGGTTGGAAAGGTGGGAGTAACAGAAAATTTCAGGTTTGGGAAGATAAAAGGGGGGGAACGAATATTGCAGGTTAGAATGAGAGGGAAAAAAGGGAAATTGCAAGGGTTTAAATAAGGGGAGTAAAAAATATTGCAGGGTTTAGAATGAGACGGAGTAACAGGAAAAATTGCAGGGTTTAAAAATGATACGGGGGTAACAGGAAATTGCAGGTTGAGAATGATAGGGGTAACAGGAAATTGCAGGTTGAAATGAGTAGGGATAACAGGAAAAATTGCAGGTTAGAAGGGTAAGGGGGGTAACAGGGAAATTGCAGGTTTTAATGAGTACGGGGGTAACAGGAAAATTGCGGTGAGAAAGAGTAGGGGGGAAAAGGAAAAATTTCAGGTTGAGATGAGAGGGGTAACAGGAATATGCAGGTTTAAATGAGTACGGGATAAAAAAGGGAAATTTCAGGGTTTAAATGAGTCGGGATAACAGAATATTGCAGGTTAGAATGATACGATAACAGGAATATTCAGTTGAAAGAGTAGGGAGAACAGGGAAATTTCAGGTTGGAAGGAAGGGGGGTAACAGGGAAAATTTCAGGGTTAGTAAAGGAAAAAAAAAAAAGGGTTAGAAGAAGGAGTAACGGGAAAAATTGCAGGTTTGAAAGAGTACGGGGGAACAGGGGAAAATTTCAGGGGATGAGTAAAAAAGAAAATTTCAGGTTGAGAAAAGATTTTGGGAGAAAGGAAAATTGCAGGTTAAAAGAGTACGGGAGTAACAGGGAATATTGCAGTTGAGAATGATGGGGGGGGAACAGGAAATTATTAAAAGGTTGGGGGAACAGGGAAATTGAGGTTGGAAAGAACGGGGAACAGAATATTGCAGGTTGAGAATGATGGGATAACAGGAATATTGCAGGTTGAAATGAATACGGATAACAGGGGAAAATTGCAGGTTGAGAATGATAGGGATAACGGAAAAATTTCAGGTTTAGAATGAACGGAGAACAGAAAATTTCAGTTGAAATATAGGGGGTAACCCGGGAAAAAGCCGGTTGAGAAAGGGTGGGAGTAAAAGGAATATTGCAGGTTTGGGAAAGAACGGGGTAACAGAATATTGCAGGTTTTGGAAAGAGTAAAGGATAAAGAAATATTCAGGTGAGAATGAGTAGGGAGTAACAGAATATGCAGTTGAGAATGAGTACGGAAAACAGGGAAAAAGCAGGTTAAAGATACGGGAGTAACAGGAATATTGCGGGTTGAGAAGGGTACGGGAGTAACAAGAAATTGCAGGGAGAAAGTTGGGGGAAACCCAAATATTGCAGGGTTTTTGAAGGGAGGTTTAAAAAATTGCAGGTTTGGGAAAGAGAAAAGGAGTAACAGAAATTCAGGTTGAAATGAGAGGGGGGTAACAGAATATTTCAGGTTGAGAA